CGCACTGTAAAACATTTTACTGCAGCTTTCCACCAGTTCGAACGCCTTCAGCAATGGCAATTTCACTTGGATATCAAACTTCAGGTGCTGCATTATGCACCACCCCAATTGATATATCTCCAGTAAGCTTAATTGGATGAGCATGTTCCGTAGCTGCCGCAGCTGACGATGTGCAGTCTCGGCTTTCATCAGACCATTGTGGACCTGACACTGCCTTTCGTTGAGAAGCGTGAATATTCGTGGCCGTCTAATAGCTGGGATAGGATTGTGGAAGCAAGCGCAAGTCGACGACGGCCATGACGCCTCTCGGCTGCATTTGCGTCTCAACGGTTCCCGACGTACCTGTCGCACAGGCAACGCGATCAGCTCGCGATCAGCTGGACGAATTCCATCCTTCATGATTACTACTAGCGCTGGTTACAGTCCTGCTGCCGACTGCTGCCTTACTGTACTTCCCTCCCGCACAGTGCTGTCGCAATGGGCTCTGTCCTTCCCACCTAGTCTCTCCATATACAGCATCTGGATCTTTCCATCTATAGCTTGACGTTTAGCCTTTCATCCGCACTTGTCGATACAGCGTCTGTTCCATTGACCGTGGTTCGGCGCAACGACGCCGCTCCACTCGTAATGAAGTAGAGTCCCAGTAGACTATGGCGCTTCAAGCGGCTCGTCCCATCAAACGCCACCTCGCTGCTCGAGACATTCACGTCCACAAACCTGTACATGGCTCCCGCCTTCCCTAGCGCCAGCATCACGATTGCGGAAAGATGTCAAACAATCCGCGTAGAACGAGAGCCCTCGCTGCCTTCGCCCTCATCGAGTGAATGTTCGATCGACTGACTGGAGGCTGTTGATCGAACGTGTGACAGACCAGTCTTAATCGGACACTCAAGCGGATACCAACGTAGTTGATAAACTGCACGAAAATGGTGCTCAATATCTCCGAAGGAAGGCGGCATAGGGCCGAGCCAGTCATGGTTCCGGATGCCAAACATTTGTTGACAAGTCAAATATCTGGTGTGCAGATGCAGGTGCAGTACTGTTAACGACTGATGATTGCAATAGCCTTTGAGGTGGAAAAGTAGAATTAAGAGCGGGGCATACATACAGGATACATTGGCCGGCTTGCCGATCCGGCCGCCTCAGTGCTGCAGCTGTCACGCCAAGAGTCCGATCTATCGCTGCGACTTGCATTGTCCTTGAAGAGAACATGCTTGCTTTCCGTCACCGTGGGAAGCATCGGGGTTGGTTCGATCTTACTGTCTCGCATTCCATCTTCGGTATCAAGCTGCTGTAATATCTGTTCCAAGAAGAAAGGGGAGGAAAGGGGAGGAGAGCCAGACGAAGTACAGACAAGAGTTCAACATCCAAGACATTCAGAATCATTAAACAGACTATTTACGAAGCACACTAGATCTGATTTGCTATCACGTAAGTTTTTGAGAATACCATGATGTGAGGTAAGATATTAGACCAACTAACGGTGATTCTACGTCAATGTGCATTGTTCTTGTAGAGCGTTAGTTGAGAAACCAAATGACGACAGTTGAATATTTGCCTAAACGAGACGCCTATCTACATATACGCTGGCCGTTTCCACCATGCGCCCTCCGGCGGAATTTCATGCCTTTGCTCCCGTGCTACCCGATTCGTCCGTCCATCCAGCCACGTCGGTTCCAATTCCCTGTACTCCTGCTCTGTAAACATGGGCCGCATCTGCCGCCACTCTGCCTGGTTCATGCGCCTCCAGCCGTGCGGGTTGGCGCTTCGCATGTCGAGGACAGAGAGACAGCGGGACAGCTCGACGCCCGTCAGAGCAAGGTTCTGAGCGCCCCAGCGCGCTAGCATAGCTTCGTCATCTCCGCAGAGGCAACCGAGCAGATGCAGGTTGCGAAGCGTTGTTGCGTGCTCAGCTAAGAAAGCCTTTAGCTCTCCAGCGGTAAAAATCCAGCGACGGAGGCTCAAAGAATGCAGATGAGGCATACGCAACGGCGAGATAACGGAAGTGAAGACGTCGAAGCGGGCGTTATTGTCCAACTTAGGAACTTCGTGCACGCCTCCCCAGAACAGGTACATCATATGGAGCGTGAGAGACCGAAGGTGAGGCGTCGAAGCTTGTAGCAATTTGCACATCTTGTCGCGCATGTGATTCTCATTAGCGCAGTGGCCGCTGTAACAGAACGCGAAACGGAGATGTTTCAGTCGACTCAGGATGTGAGAGAGATTTGTATCGGGGCCTAGGAAGACATCTTTCAGTGCACTGATGTCTAGGTATTGTGGGTTCTGCGCATGGCTAGGGTCGGCAAGCTCACTTGTGTCTTCACCTGTGTATTCGAATGCATGTGGTCCAATAGCCAGACTAGTCACCCTCGCTTTCGGTACCTTGGCGAGGACGTCAAGTAGAGGGAACAAGCGGTCACCTACAGTGGTACCTGGGCCAGTGATTCCAGTGTGCTGGGGCTCGAGAGTCCTGCCGAATTGACGTCGACAGCAAGCGTCGAAGCTCTCGCCATTGCGGGCTAGACCGCGATAGTCCGTATACACGACACTGCTTAGGTTTGGAAGCATAGTGAATGCAGCAGCGAGAATGTTGGTGTCCACTCCTTCCAGCCGGATGTAGTGCTGATCGGTGTAACGCTGCGCATAATTGGCGAACGACGTGTAGCAGCCAAGGCGGAAAGCGTTGTGGAACTCCAGCATCGGCACCGCACGTTCGTTTGGACTATCGACCCGTTCACCTTCCTCGCCTGGTTTCATGCTATCGTCAATGGAACCAGGTATCACAGAGTTGCGCATGCCGAACGAACTCAGCTCCCTCCAAGCCACGCGATCGCGGTTTTGTTGCGCCGTCCATGCTGCATCCTCCGAGTCCCGCGGCGAATATTCGCAATCTTCCACATACTGGTTCCAGTCCGTTGCCGCCGCCTCGGCGTAGCTGCTGCCATCATAAACCAACTCTGTGACATGTCGGTGGAAGAAAGGGTGCTGCAGAACCTCACGCAGCTTCTTAATCACCTCTCGACGCCGCGCGAAGATGACGCGACGGAGGAGGAAGGGCGAGCTATGCTTGTTGAAGGCGTGGTTTACGAGGCGGCAGGCGGCGATATCTGTAGATGATTGGGCATGGAGATGGGAGAATATACAGGCGAGAAGCTCAGGGGGCAGGGCGCTGAGGATATTCGCCTGCTGTAGAAGTTGTTCGTTCGTAGATTGTTGCGCGTTTGTCACGAAGGCATTCGGCGGCGACCTGCGGCACATATTGTACAGTATAATTGCGAGACGGATGGTGTTTATGAACGCGGCGCTGACACATGGGGAGGTTTGAAGTCATGTTACATCATATCAGTTGTGCGTCATATCTGGTCATGCGTGCTGTGATACGTCGTTTGTGGGGTAATGGCAGGCCTACACGATTGATTTTAGATTTCTATTCTCGGTTGGAGCCACTACGTACTCAGCAGCCACGTTCGCAACAGTAGGCTAGGCTCTTGATCCTTACGGCGTCTGACACACCCCCCTACCCCCGGAAACAAATACGAGCCGTCTCTGCTGTACAGTACACCACATCTCCCAGAGAGCTTTGGACCGGCAGGCGATTGGAGGAGCAAGCAAGCCTACAGGGCGGGAGGGGATCTGCGTGCTGACCAGCCCGTAAACCTGGCCTGCCCGGAAGCCGTTGTGCTAGCACCGAATCCAATGGACAGGCGAGTATCGGTCATGCTGTTCTAGCAGATTATAGAAAATGTCTGATGAACACTACCACCGCATCCGCGCTCATCGCTGAGATGCTCCACATCAAAGAACTTGCTTATTCGACGAGGACCAAACAGCCGGCGAACGAGCTTGTAGGAACCGTTTGTCTCGCAGAGACTCAAGAACGATCCGCAAATCTCTTGAAATTGATCAAATGGTATGACGTCGCTGGCGGATTGAAACACCCGAAGGGCAACTAAGGCCAGTTCGGCATCGTGGCACATATGAAGGCAGCTGCTGATGGCCTCCCTGAGCTCGCGAGCCGAAGCTTTCGGACATTGCGTTACATGACTGAAAATCCACCGGAACTTTAATTGTGCCAGAGGTGGCAGTAAGGCAACCTCAGCTTGCAGGGGTTCTCTTCTGAGGTCTTCTTGACTCGTTCGTTGGTGCATGGTATCCCACTTGACGCAAGCATCTCTCTGACCAGAAGAAGATTTCCTGCCTAAATCAGACCGATCTCTTGATGTCTCATGGTCTTGTGCCTCACGGGGTTGCTCTCGTAGTCTCCACTTTCCCATATCGAGCTCTGGAAGGGTCGCAAAATCGTGCTTTGGAAGTATTCGCCTGCCGCAGTTGGGCATCTCATTGTCATCGTCCTTTACACCTCCGGCAGCAGCAGACGCCTCTGATCTTGGCTTCTCCAAACTTCCTCCTGGGCGTACTGGTGCAGAAGGGTTGAATAGTCCTGACATGCATGATGTGGATACAGCCGACAGATTAGCTTTTGCCGCTAGTGCACGATGCGATGCGATGCGATTTCTTTTCGATTCGTCTCGCATGATAACGACAAAGTCCTCACGATACAATATCTGTACACGATATTATGATGGCGGCAATGTGTGATAATTAGTTTCATTCTGTCTACTACTTTTGATCTATCCACGCTGGTCACACGACCCGACGGCGCTTTTTCACTCATCATCACTCTGGCCACGAGATGATCATGACCAGGTCGAGGGCTCCTGCGGGCTGTCCGTCTGGTTCTCGCAGTACCACTGACTGACTGACTGACTGACTGACTGACTGACTGACTGACTGACTGACTGACTTGCTCAGGTGCAATCAAGAGTGCTCCAGCGCCGTGATCGTCGGCCTTTACCGCCCAGTTGCGCGAAAGAAGATCCAGCGCCTTGCCCTGTTGAGCTCTTTCACAGTCTGCCAGCTCATCGTTCTGGTCGGAGGCCGTACAATGGCTCCAGTATTCCCCAACTCCATTCTGCAATCCCATCTACCTGCTTCACATCCCTCGTCCACTCTAGCAAGAGACCGATGGTGCTTTCAATATCCCGCCTACTAACCACAGTACCCTCGTCAACAATCTGTCGTAAACAGTCGTTCACAGAGCACATGTTAAGCACGAGCAGAATGCCCATAAAGTTCTGCGTCCACGCAAACATATGCGGGACTAGCCTCTTCTTATTCTTCGGCGGTGACATGGCGAGCGGCCACATACACGCGCTCTTAAGAGCGAAACCGCAGCAATTACCATCCTCCGCCGTCATCAGCTCCGGAAAATGCAGCGCTTTGTACACGAACGGTCGATACATCATAAACCGAGCATAGTAGAATCTTGTCCGAAGTTGTGCCGTTACAACATCCAAATTATACTTGTGTCCAATTGGTACCGGACCCTGATCCGGACTGAAAAGTGGTTCGTTCGGCCGCCTGATCATGGGGTTCGTAGCTGGGAAGTCGAACCTATTATTGTCGCTCCACTGCAGAGGTCGCGGGAGTAGAGCTCTCCAACTATCCAATTGCCTCATCATTTCCCGAATAACGGCCACAGGCGGACCGCCATAGTCGTCAAAAGTTCTCCGCCTGGGCCGAGGATGCTGCAAGTGTTTTGTGAGCTTGTGTCCCACTTGTCCGCCGAGAGCCTCGCCACAATGGCTCGGCCTGCATGGCACGCTCACATTCATGTATCACGTTGTGGATGCGTGCGATGAGGCGTCGTAGCGCAATCATGGCGAGGAAGTGGTACTGGAAATGACTGCGCTCTTGGTTGGCCTGGGCGGAACTTCCTGCGACACTACTGCCTTGGTGTTGCTCTTGTGCTTCGTGGGAATATGGTAGGGGTATTTCGTCCTCCATGGTGTGTATGCCGGTTTGTGGGAAGCCGAGGTCTAGGTGGTATAGATCTTCGCTGAGGACGCAAGTCCAATATGCACGTTTCACAAGGTCGCCTGTAGCAGATGACCAGTCGATTGGCTCGCAACGAATCAAGACTTGGCACGCCATCGAAGCGGCGACTGTGCAGCGCCAGAAGTCTAGATGCCGAGATGTCGCTTCGTAGTAGGCAGCTTGTAGTAGATTGAGTTGGACATTCTCCAAGGTGCATTGCGTCCAGATGAAGCCAAGTCTTCTTCTGGCTTCGTTGAATAGAGCGAGTCCCGGTGGATGATCAACAGTGCCGCCGCGGAAGCCACTTGGTTGACCGTTGACGACGCTGATAGGTCTCTCGAACACGCCATCGACCGCCACCGCACCCAGCGCGAAGACTAGAAGAGCCAGAACGCTGCCGGAATCGCCGTCTCCGTAGCCGTCCCGCAAGAGTCTCGCCACAGTGCTGTTCATGAATGCCTCTCGATTGAGTACTGGATAGAGAACATTGAATGTGTTGAAGTAGGCGTCGGAAAGCTCTTGTATTTGCTGAACACCGAGAGTCGGAAAAACAACACTTGAAGCTCTGCCTTGCTTTGTATTTCCAATGGCCATCGTGAAGCACTGCAATCCAACGTCCGATGGTAGTGGATCAGGATGCTTGCTCATCTCTCGCTTGATGAATCATGGCGTTCCTTCTTGGAGGACGTACTGCAAGTCAGATGCAGCCGAGATACCAGAATTGAGTAGATGTATGTATATGCCGGGCCACAGCATGATCTTGTGGGGTACCGTGAGGTGCTGATAAGACTTTTGCACATTGGCGCTGGAAGCCGACCCTTCTGTATTCCGCTGTCCAGTCTCGCTTCGTGAGGCCTTGTCGAGCGACACCGACGACGTCCCACTCACCGAAGCACAGGCGCCAGATGAGTTCAAGTCCGGACTGCTTCCTTGTGTAATGGCCATATTGTCGAACTTGTTCTCCAATCGGGTCAAGGTGTCTAGGATGTGCACAATGGTTTTGTCTTTCCTATTGGACTAGTCAGCAGACTTGTCATGACCACTGCTCTAGCCGCTTTCAACATCTGGTTCAGCAAGCTGCTGTCGAAAAGCCGGGTAAGACTGATGTGTGCAGGAGCTCATCGTGGTCGGGTTGTCAATGCCGGACCACGATGATAGTCCTGGACAACACTTACTTCGTTGGCAAAGGCTCTCGATACTCGCAATCCACATTGAGGCGCTGACATAGCCCACCTGCGCGAGAGTCAGCGATCATGTCCGCACGCGGCAGGTACGCGACACATACATTTGGGCCGTTGCTCGTCGCATTTGCTCTTGCTGCATAACCGTCAGTCAACTCGCTCTGTTCAATTCACGTGCTGATCGGAGATGATTCCCCCGCTTACCGGTTGCGGCATTTTTGACAAGCCTGGGCGGCCATGGCAGCTCTTTCACGACGCTGCGATGAGTCCGACGACTCGGGATGCGCGAAAGACGCCATGCGGGATGTCCTCTATGGGCGCTGGCCCAGCAGACGTTGTTTGCCCAGGCAGTGTGGAGATAAATTAGGGCCGTGTGCGCGGAAGCGGCGTCTTGCGGCGTGCCTGCCGCCTCCTTGAAATCAGACTCGGCGACGTCTTGGGCCAGAGACGAGGTGTATGTAGATAGTCGCGTGGGAAGCTTGTAGGGACGTGCAAGGGTGTGTGCAACAACGGGTTTGCCTTCGCATAGAGCGTCTTGTCAAAAGAGCCGGTGACCAATCAAGCATGGATTTGCTCTAATAGTAGTACGAAACAGCGCGGGGATCAAGCCGCGCGCTAGCCCAGGCATCGGTCTTTAGCGCCACCTCATCTTACCACCTTTGTCGCCCATTCGCCGTATGAAGGACGCCATATCCTCTGGGCTCGCAACAGCTTCACAATGTCGAAGAGACTGTCGACACTAGGTCCTACATGTATGACTTACAGTTATGGCTTACAGTAGCAGCTACTAACCTTATTCCAGTTACGAAACAGCATCGAGGAAGCAAGCGACCCGAAGACTTATCCGAACAGCGCCAAAGCCTGGAAGCCAAGCTCCCACGGCATAACCTCCCATCACCGCATAGCGAAGGATAACTTGGCAACAGGAAGAGCAAGAGAAAGCGTGGAGAAGAGGAGGATAGAGGGGATGCTAGAGTTGTGAGGGATCTTGGACCTCACATCATGCCGTCACCAGAACTGCTTGAAGTCCAGGGCCATTCTGGACTTGAGCACATTGTTGAAGGGGTCGACGCGCAGTGGACCAAATGTACTTCTTTGTGCGGACCTAAATCGAGGCCAGACGTGAGCCATGGATTATCTCGCTTTGTCTTCACAACATCAGAGCGTGAGAAGCTTACGTCAAACAACACATGTGCATGCGAGACGATGATGTTTCCGTTTTACCTTTGTGAGGCTAAGTGCTTCGATAAGTCGATAGAGGAATCAGAGCTCCAGGCATTACACGGCGCCAGCGTTGCGGGCAACACGGTGATCGAATTGTACCAGAAAATCGCAGCAGAGAAAGAGCTCCACCAGCGCATTCTCGCGTTCTCGGTCTCTCACAATCAACGCATTGTGAAGATATTTGGGCACTTTGCGTTGATTGACGGCCGCAAGATCACCTTTCACCGCCATCGACTATTTGAGATGGAACTTGTCGATGACGCGTCCAATCAGACCAGGCCATACCAAATTGCTCTTGGTATCTGGGAACACTTCTATCCTATACACCTTGCTAGGATTCGAGATGTACTGGCTCGACAGCGAGATCGTGCTGTGGACTCCTTTACTGCGCAGCTTGGATTGGAAGAGGACTAGGCAAGCGGAATATCCACCCCTGCATCTACACAAGATGACAGTCAGACTGTGGTCAAATTTCAGGAGGAAATTGTCAGGTTGCTGAGTAGCATGCGGGAACAGCAAGAGGAGTCTCGTCAGCAACGTGAGGAGCATAGGAAACTGATGGACCAACAGAAAGAAGAGCCTCGTCAGCAACAGATGCTTCTAGAGCCTCGTCAGCAACAGATGCTTCTAGAGCATCAGCTGGAGCGCCAATCTGAGCAATACAAAGAGCAGACGGAACGGCAGTCCGAGCAGCACAAAGAACAGGTGGAGCAGCAGAAGGAGATCATCGCATTGCTAAAGCAATCGATCTCGTAAGTTAGATTCAGACGTAGTCAGCAAGATGATTCACGCCTTCATGAATTAACGTTGACGCTTTCAACAACCATTCCCCTCAGAAGAGTTTCGAGGCTTCCATCAGAACGTTGGCCTTGGCGCTCATATACGACAGAACAGACAGTGGGCATAGGCGTCGGAAACGGATGGGTTTCGATGTGCAGCTTTATTCGGCAAGACGTGCCAAAGCAACAGTCGGTTCTGTGAGCAGCGTTATTGCTGCAACCGGCAGTGCCAACATGCATAACGTACTTCATGGGCGAGTGAGTCACACGGACGAGCGAGTCGAAACGCGCTGTCAACGCGTTACAGAGCTTTCTTCTGTACAGTACCTCACCCGTACCCTCATTCTCGCAGGTGTCTTGGATTCGACTGCATGAGTGGTCAACGCTGTCCCGAAGACTGGCCCAGACACAAAGTTCGGCCAACCCCCAGCTCGACATGCCGAATACTGCGATTATATTCGCGTATGTAGTAGTTGTCGAATCATATCGATCCGCTGATCGACCATTGGCAGACTCTAGGCTTCTGCGCCAAATTAACGTATGCTTCATAATCGTATCGTGACCCGGTTGCATCGCCTGAGGCTTTTAGAGGATTCCCTTCCATGCACTCGAGGGACCGACCGACGGCCCGATTCGGCGCTCATCCATTTGTGGTAGACATGCGCGAGTATACAACCATTACCATCAAGGTCTTGGAAGGAGGAGTGTGATAGAACGTGGAACTAGAGGCTGATGAGATAGATCTCTAAAGAGTCAACCACAGCGTGAGTCGATCGGCTCAGCCTCAACATTTCGACGACGTGGCTAAAAGCTTGGAGCCGCCACCATGGAGTCACCAGGTTTAAACTCTGCATACTTTCGGGCCGACGCCCCCCAATGTATCTTATGATACTGCTCCACGGAAGGTTGTGGATTCTGCAGAAGACGTTGAGGCAACAGCTGATCTTGGTTCGGCGACCATAAACATGGAGGAGCTTCTGTCACAGCTGTTGAGGGTGAAGATGGCGTGACTTACTGAACAGACGGGAGATTTAGAATTTCTAGCGATATGATCGCTTTGCTGGGTAAGTGAAGGGAGGCGAGGGTCGCGTCCTACGGATCACGCTGCTGATTTCGTGCAACTAGTACATGCAAGTACTGTATGTGGCCTGTTAGACCAAGCAGAGCTGAGCACAACCGGCTCCTTCACCAATGTGTCAAGCTTGCCGAACCTCGCAGCGAGTCGGGCAGCAGCCCGAAACGCCTATGGCCCAAACCTCGATTGATATAATTCTGCTATGTACGCTAGTACTACGAGCGTGCATTAGTCCATCCTATGATCTTACGTCTTTAGTCGAAGGGTCCCATACGACATTGTCACATCCTTTCGTGAGTGCACTTATTCCTTCTATCAAGTTGGGACCGGAGTGAATCGCATTACGTGCCCAATATGAGCGGAAGACCTTGGACTCTGCTGCAACTGGCACAAGATCTACCTGGTCTTTATGCTGCGGCACGGGGTCTCGCCGCGCAGGAGTCCGATTCGCGGTCGTTCTGGACAGCCTTTCTGACTGCATGGGCCCAGCTTTCCGGGAAGGCCATCAGAATCGATACTGAACAACCACCTCAGCAGGATCCAGAGCCAGAGTACAGGTTGATCAGGATTGACATCACTGCTGATGCCTTTCATGAATCTACGAAATGGCGATTCCACTTGATCATATGCCAAGCAAAAGGCCACAATGCACGCTCTTCGAGATACAATGATGTTGAATCTCAGGTCCACCGCGACTGCGAGGCTTGGCTCAAAGAGCGAGGCAACATGCCGGGAAGTGTATATGCCATGTGCACAGTCGGCACGGCCTGTCGCATGTTCCGTGCTTCAATAGAGCGCGACGAAGAACCATGGGTTCCAATGTGGCATGCTCAAGGTTTCCTAGATGCGGATGCTAGTGAATACATAGATGCGGCAGACCCTGATAGATGCGCAACCCTGTGGGGGGCGCTACAGGAGACCCTGGCCCGGTCACCGCTGCCCATCGCGGATAAGGGCGTCTTCAAACTCATTCTCCACCACGGATTTCCACCTTGCCCTGTTTACTTTATAACCTTGACGACTGGAGGTGTTTGTGACCTCCCTCTCTACATGCATCTTGGTTCTCGTACAGTCGACTGTTCCTACCAGCGTTATCTCCGAGACCAACTTCACCTCCACTGGTGTAGTAACATTTTTCGTTGCTCGACCGCTCAATCTAGGACATGCAGAAGTCGATCAACTGTATAATCGCTGCCTGATGTATGCTGCTTCTCCAGACACAGCTCAGCTTCTTGCGGACTTGCGACACACCAGTGGACATGGTCCCGGAGAGGGTCGAGATTTATCCTGTCTGGAAGTTCAAAACCCGAGCCTAAACTATCTGTTTCTTCCGAAGAGACATCCCAGACGTGCTGGTAGCGAGGTATAGCCCAACCACCGCAGTAGCAGTTGTGAGCTCGTCCTCGTGCTCGGCATCGGCGTCCGCTTCGACGGTAACAGAAACAGTGGTTTGCTCAGTGGTATCGCCGGCTGGGCTTGAGTTGGTGGAATTGTTAGTGGACGAGTCCGGCGAAGGACCGGGGACTAAGGACGCCGCTTCAGAGATGTAGTTGTCATTCGTGGCAGACCCGACAGACGGCAAAGCAGGAGATGCCGCTGTTTTGCTTGGTTGGTCGTCCTGGACAATGTTCTGCGCTTCGTTGGGGAAAGGGTGCGCTGCAGCGGGATGACTGACAATCGTTCGCATCCGTCGTTTCGGGGTCGTAGATTTGCGGGTGACCAACGTACAATGGTATACTGAGCAAGTCCTCATAGGAATTGGCATGTAGGTTGAGAGCGAAAATGCCAACCAGATTGTCAGCTATGTCTGTGACTGCGCCGAACTGTAGAGACTGTTGCGAGAGCGGATGCGCGTTTTGTGGCTGATTGAGCCATGGATAATAGTTGTATACCTACCTTCTCTAGTAAAGCGCTATATAGGATAGATAACTTATACGTTTTGATTAATAGATGGCGAGCTTATTACTTTATACAAGTAGGTAGAAGAATAGGAGAAGCTTCTCGATATACGAAAGACTCGAAAAAAGGGTAAGCGAGTCGTATTAAAGGGAAGGTTTGTATTTAGTATAGATAAAGTACTCGAGATAGCAAAGGTAGCTAAAGCGGAGTTATCTACTAAAAAAGCTGCACAAATAGCTAAGCAAGCGTCCAATCGAGGAAATACTTAAGAAGGATAGAGGAGAAGAGCCAGAGAATATATCTAGCGACTCAGATTCTGACTGTACTGTTGCGGTGCGCAAATAGCAGTAGAATCCATGCAAAACATCGTGCGTGCGATCTTGGTTATCTTTCGCCATCAACATCTTAACAACAAGGTGAAATCAGTCGCAAAAGTGCCATTTCCTCTCATCTTGATACGCTCTACAGACTGGCCGAGTTTGGTGAAAATGTTCGATAGTTAAGGCAAATAAATCGTTCAATGAAATCGTCGTCAAACCCATGGATTTTCCGCATACAAAACGCTAAGATAGCAACGGAAACGACAACGATTCCATCGTAATATCATGTAATGATACAATACAATAAAGTATATATCATAGTACCGGAAGACCGGCAGATGGGCCACAGGAACGATGGAAGCCAGATATAAGGTAGTGCGAGCGGTGGTGCAGTTTCTTAGGCAGACCGCCCGTCAATCTGGTCGCGAGCTTCTTAATGGGCTACGCCAAGAACCCCAAGAGACTACTAAATGGTGACGGGCTGAGAAGTGAGACGAGGCAGCGGAGAGTGAATGTTGCAATAACGATAAGACGGCTCTTAAGTCTCCATAGAAGATTTCGTAGCCTGAACAGACCAATCTATTCGCAAAGACCAACCCTCCGTTCCCGCTCAAAACAGTTTTTCACGGGCCTTGGACTCACTTCAGGAACGAACAAGCCGGTGGATACGAATTTGCGACCTACCATACCACCGGAAGCTTGGTGATACCGACATCCCTCGTCGGCTCAGTATATGCAACCTCAGAATGCGGAATCCCGAGCTTAAGATTTGGGAGTTTTTTGAACAAAGTCGCTGCAACGGACACAATGTTTAGCGCGCAGTCCACGTCTCGTCAGGAACAGAAGTAGACTGTACTCACAAAAGACAGTCTCAAGTTCGGCGCGCGCGAGCCATTCCGCAATGCAGCGGTGCTCACCCCAGCCGTATCCGAGCGCCTCTTCAGATCCTCGTTTCCGATGCAGGTCAAATTTGTCGGGATCGGGAAAGACTTCCTCGTCTCGGTTGCAGGATTGATTGGAAGCGATGATTCCCTCGCCAGCTTTTATAAGCTAGCGTAGGAGTGTCCAGTATTAGCCGGGTACTACAGATCCATGAACGATTAGAAAGGAGCGTGATGTGGATACGCGCATACCTGGCCTCGTAGGGTGATATCCTCCTTTGCGACGCGGCGGGTGGCAAGAGCTGAGGCCGTGTGGTAGCGACAGAGTTCTTCAACGAACGGCTTCGATAGAGATGGGTCGCGATTTAGGTCCTCCAGCTGGCTTGGATGCTCGAGCAGTGTAACGACACCCTACGCCTGGCATAAGCTCGTGCACAAACCATCGAAAAACTTTTATGCCAGCGATGCTTACTAAGGCAATCATGTTTACCATAGTAGCATTGCCGGCTACAAGCAAGAGGAAGGAGATCTGAACAGCATCAAGCCTATCGATGTTGCGCAGTTTGAGCTGGCATCGTGAGCCGAGTGCGGCCTATTAACATCGTTTCAACATACCTGTTCAACGACAAGCTTACTGATCAGGTCATTTCCGGGTTTCTCGGTTCTTTTGTCTACAAGTTTCCCCAGATATTCCAGCAGATCACTGATCCGTCAGCCGGTATTCTTGCAAGAGGAGGGCTCGGCCATTACTTATTCGCATTGGCGGCAGCTGCGGCTGTCGAGCTTCCATTCGTTCGGACAGCGTTCATACTATTGAGATATTCGACATCCTCCAAAGGCACTCCCAGAATGCTATAGATGCTCTACACAAGCAGCTCATCAGGATGTGCTTCGATGAATCTCCGGAAGGCAGCAACATACCTCTGAGGGTACCGGCAGTGCAAACTTTTCGACGAGATCCACGGGCTCCTTACATCCGCCCTTGATCATTTCGTCGAGGTAACGGTTGACAGTCGCCTGGATCTCGGGCCGCTTGCTCTCGATATGCTCCTTGGTGAAAGCTTGAGCAACCATATTTCTGTCAGGGCGGTCCATCAGTTCGTTGTATGTATCTTGGCTTCTGAGGAATAGGGTTATTACCTCTGCCGCATATGATAAGGAGGGTCCATGTCGACAAAGGTAGGTCTGTTTTTCGCTGCTGCCTTACCACCAGCACTCATCTCAGGGAAGCCCTCGCGTTGGCGTTGCTAGGAAGATCGTCATTACCTTTGGATTCACTCGGTGCCATTATAGAAAGTGTATGAAGCCTTACCTTTGACAGTCGCGTATCGGTCAGTACACTGCAGGCATCATTATGCTTTGTCACCAGCCATGGATGACTGCCATCCCAAAGCTCAACCCGAGAGACAGGGTTTGAGGCACGGAGTTTGGCAAATTCAGCCGGTGGTTCAGCGCCTGCCGCGCGGGCGAATGGGAAATTTGGCGGGTCTACCATGAGCAGCAAGTCAGTGCAAATCTTCTCATTAGAGATGGTGGATCTAGCTTACGTGCTTCCGTAGACATCTTACAGTTCGATACACGTCTAATAGTAGAAAAATGATTGTAATCCCCAAGACGAGTGCTCACTGTTTTCTCGTATCGTTTCAATAGATGATCCGGCAACTCAACATCTTTCAGAATGCGAGCAGTACGGGCATTCTGATAGAATTCCAGCCGGCTCAGTGTCCAATCGGCCGAGAGGGATGTCATAGCAGCTGTCTATGCCCTCCACGGAGATATAGCAGTAGGTAATGCGGGGGGTAAGCGCGTCCGAGACGTCCGAAGCTCGCGGTAAGCCGAAGGTACGGTCCACAGTTACGTAAATCGGGACGCCGAAAATACATCCTGATCATACGATGGGATTCTCAGCCGTTTCAGAAATAGTCTATAATGATGATCCTGCTTGTGCACCCGTCATGTGACATCCTGCGACTTAGTAGCTGCCGTCCACTAAGCTTGCAAGTACCGTCGTGTGCCATGGCTTGTCAACCACCGAACCGTCAGCCCCGCAATTTACCGGCCCAGAGTTTCCGCAGATCTACTAACCTTTGGCCTACCTACTCTGATGGCCTGAGGTCACAAGGTGAATTTTGACCGGCTCCACTTACTGGTAGGATACGACGGCAGCATGTCCCAGGCCGGAGCTCAGGACGACCGCACTTATACCGGGCTACCTAACCGCATCTCGGATCGTCTTTGGCCCTTCAGTAATGACGTGTAGTAGAGTCTACTCGCGGGCTGAATATGCAGCACGACATCTTAAGAGATTCACGGCCCTCAAAGCCTGATGACTAAGTGGTAAATGTCAACCCCTGATTGGGCCAGAGAAGAAGCGAGCTCTGTACGCTTGGGGACATCACTACAAACCCTTTCTTGAGCTTCTTGTGTAGGACGCCATCGGATCTTCTCGTGCAACAGCCCAAAAAAGAAAACATACAATCCGATGCGGGCCGGCGCGGCGGAGCTGACAGGAGGCAGAATCGCGGCCGGGGTGGTGTGCGCGGTAGGGGCGGAAGACACGACAACGCTCCACCTCCTGGCAGTGGCGCCACAGTCTGCGGAGCGGACGTCTTATTCGCCTCTGTCTCACTCGCTTACAATTCTTCTCAGGACACATCCACGCTTTCTACTTCGATTGCGTATTATTTCACATGGAGACGATTGAGTTGGTGAACGGCAACCGTGACTCGGCAAAGGTTGCGCATGATGAGATGGCGGGAAGCTGAGACGCTGCAGCTTCGCCGGAGCCGGAAATGATGCAGAACACGTTCCAGGGACCTGCGGCGACGCATTTTTCGCAGGTAATAGCGCGAGATGTAGCTTGCGTGTTCCGTGGAGCTCGTGGCGAGCTGAGTTCGGAGAGGGTAGACGCTGCAAGAATTCGCTGTAGGGTGCAGCGCAATCATATGGAAGGCCTGTAGTCCTTACAGCACTTCGCTCATCGCTTGAATCCTGCTTTGAGAATCCTTCTCGCCGTGCTTTTACGCACGCGTGGTCAATAGTGCGTACATACCTCTGTCTTCTCGGGTCATCTGCGTAACTTCATTATTACGCATCTGGTCTCGACTTTTTCAGATGCGTCTAGGCTGAAGCGTCGCCTTTCACACCGCAACTCGCCTTGCAGCGCCGCGCGTCTGGACTACTCCGTGACGAGTAACAGCAGGACCGCCCGCACGCTTCGAGCGAGACGCGCATCAACCGCGCCACGCAGATGACCTCTGGCTAGATTTGGCCTTTAGTGGATATCGCCAGCGACCATCCACTGACCGCTCACGATTGAAGATGTGGAACTTGCCGTATTGGAGCCATTCTTTGGGACAGACGGCCATATTGCCGCCTCCGAGCAAATCCATCCTGCGATGTAAGGTCCGATGCTTGACTTCTCACATGCTGCGAATCTCTGCTCTAGATGCAAGGTATCAGCAAGTCGCCACCTGCCTGCATCTGTCAAGGACCCAGAGAAATACCATGGCCGGAGTCCCGGATGACAAGCGACTTCTCCTTTTCGAACCTTGGTCACAATTTTCTCAGTCGTTAAGTTTCTGGCTAAGTGTCTGACCGCTCGATCGGGTGAAACCCTTACGCTTCGTTCTGACTGATCAGGCCTCATGGACATGGCCATTGCAACGGCCACAGAGTACAGATGCAGGGATACTACCACGGTCCGACGGATTAGATTGGTTACCCCATACTTCGATTGAGAGACAGTAGAGATTGAAACACTCCTACAGCAGCTGCTACTGTTTTGACTCCGTGACCAGCAAGCATATCAGTGTATCACGACTGATCCAGAACGCCCCACGTATCTTTTCAGAACATCATGACCACCAAAGGGTAGCCAAGTTATACTCCCCATGGCTTATGGAAGTCTATGCGATCACAATGCCCGCTTGCTCAACCGTGGTAAAGGTTCTGGGGTGCTCCAGGGAAGGACACAGCGGTGACGAAGGTGTCCTCGCGAGGTGACTACAAGAGAGTGAGCACACGTGCTAGGGAGCGAAGACGAAATCTCCCGTACTTCATACGCCGATTGGGGCACTCGTGACTCCAAGGGGCCGCTGTCTCGGCCATGATCAATCGCTCTTCCTCCTTCAAGACCTCCACCTCTTTACAGGCTTCGCAAAGTGTCCAGGCTGCTCCGAGAGTGGTTACAAGCTGTGATTGCAATGACCCGGGTGGCCCCGTTGTTGTCCTGTCTGACGGGCAGCCAGGAGCCACGCATTGGGATACCTGAGCGTGGAGGCGTGGGTGCTGGCGCACGAAGGGCTTCTCGTCGGGCATGGTAAACCCGGCCTCGACCATCTCCGAATGGTTGTCGAGAGCGTCACGCCAGTGCAGGGTGCCGAAACCATCTACGCAATCCTGCTGTCTGCCGAAAGCTGTGTGCGAACCTCGCTGAACTCGCGCAAGAGCAGATCGGGTTCCAACGACATCCGAGCCCCAATCTAGTGAGTTGGGCCAATCTGAACCTTTAAGCTCGTTGGTGCGATCCTCTCGGTCACAGGGGAGTGGTTGATCGTAAAACGTTTCTGAGACCGATCGATTCTCAGTCGGTGTGATACGGGAGACAACGGTCGCTGTCTTCGTCATCTTGTCGTCGAAAGATGTCTTCCAGGTATGGAGCAAGTGGGTTGGTGGTAGCGGCAATCCAGCGACGTATTTGCATAGGTGAACTGCGGTCTATATAACCCATTCTGATCACGTTGTGCATATGCTCATCATGTTGCCGTAGACTCACCCGAATATCACCTGCCCGAGTCACAAGCAGGATCGTCAAAGGATCGCGTGCGATGTCGCGATAGCGACGGGGACGCGTGCCGAGGCAACCTGTATGTCGCTGCAGGGTGGCGTGACATCCAAGTTTGTCGGTCCACGATCGAAAGATACGCTTCGGTTGTTGCGTGAGAACACGGCCTTTCACGGCGACGGTGCTTCGGATCAGCACCGCCCACGAAAGCGACGCTGGATCACGAGTAGCCAAGTCGAGTGCAGCTGGCAACTGGTGTTGCTTTACCCTAACCACGACAACATACGAAGTGGCTACTCCATAATGCACTACGAGGTATAGGATAATGGCTCTTCGTCGGCTAACGTGCCAGGGCCACCCGCCTGCACGTCGCACAATCGATCAATCTTTAACGCCCAACAGCTACTCTGTGGCCAAGGCGCTGGCCCGACTCCATGCTGTATAAGTGGGGATACGCTAGTACTTTCAGCACAAAATCTCGGAGTCTCGGAGTCTTAGAGTCTCACGCATTTTCCTCGTACCCTAGGCCATGATCGGTCGATTTGTTGGGTTGTCGGCTTGGTGTGATGGTCCAAGCTGGAGCTACAACGTGATATATCACGCAACCCAGAGAATCTCATCGTTCGCCATATAACATTACAGCCCTGTGTACCGTATGCTCACCAACTCTTTCCTTAACGAGCGTCGAGGATGCAGCGATTGATTCTGGCGCATTACAGCGGTCGGAGTTCAATGAACATGGCCAACGGCTTCGATGACAGCAGAAAGGCAGCACAAGTAACCATATCGCGCAGTCTAGGCTTTGACATTTCCAGCGTCGCCAGCATCGTCCCCCAGATTTAGAAATTGACAGGCGACGACTTCGCTCGATGCCGTTAGGTCACTTTGCAACCTCGTATGGGCAGTATTGAAAAAGCTCAACGCTGAAGGAGCCAGCTTTCACGCTCTTCTCGCCGAGAACTCTTGACTTAAGGAGAAGGTTGGACGCAGGGCGCGGTTCCCGGGTGGCTGTATCTTCGGGCCGATCTAGAGCGACCGCGGCGAAGAGCGCGTTGCCGTACCTCATTCCTCTCTGTTTCAATGACATCTTTTATTCATATCGAGCTGCCGTGCGAGCGGCTGCGGTCGCGTCGTAGGTGTAAGTGTTTCCGGGGTCGAAATACCCTGCTAGGCTAGCTCTCGCACATCGTTCTCGGCTGCGGCGAGGTCGCCGGACGATATTGGGATGAACGAAATATATAACAAGGCAGTCCACTACAGTAACAATAACGCGGTCGTACTACTACTCTCTTTTGTAGACGCTCAGCACACATATCACGCAACTACCCGTCATGGCAGCATTATCCATGACCTCCTCGCCGACCAGTGCCATAAGCTTCGGACCCGATGGCAGCATCCGTCACGATTCAGTCCAGGGTAGGTTGATCGCATCACTATGACACCTGCACAGGCCAGCCTCGCTGACACGTTGCGCCCGTTGAATAGACCTCTTCGCTCCTGGACAAGCATGGAAGTGCGACTCGCAGAACAACACGACCTGCTGGACAGGCGTTTGCAAGCACGGCCGCCCTGGCACACATCCGAACTGTCCGGCGCTGCAAATGCCCTTTATGAGCAGCGACTTCTCGACTTTCCAGGACGCTCAGCTTCCGCGACAAGCTTACATGCCAATAAATGCCACTTACGACAACAGCTCTTATCCGGCTGCGTCTGAAGTGCAACAAGGTCAGGGCTCGACAGACAACGACTTAGCAGCTTGGCTGCCAGATGCTACCGACACCAAGCAAGCTGACCTGATGGAGATACCACTGCCATCGAGCAGCACAAATGCCGTCCAGAGGACAACAACTAAAAGAGCTCCAGGAGGCGAGATTACTCGACCCAAGGGTCGCAGATTACCACACAACCTCATTGAGCGACGATACCGCGACAACCTCAATCGCCAAATTGAAGTGTTGCGCGATGAGCTGCCGACGTTCAAATCGATCGTCGCATACACAGCCGACATTGAGGATACTACAACGTCTCTCGGAGGTAAGTGGCCAAGTAAAGCAGTGGTGATTGCAGCAGCCGTTCAGTATATAGCTGTACTTGAGCAAGAGCGCGGGCAGGCCACCACACGCAACACGCTGCTGTGTGAGCAAGTGGAAGGTCTGCAAAAGCTAGTCCGGTGCGATGATTGCGCAATCGTTAAGTATCTGGAAGGGATGCAACCGCGCATGGTGACTGGTCATTGACAGAGCCTGGTTCATTCATCTTCGGCGGGCGTTCAGGGTGTCCGGTAGCTGAATGGGTCTTAAGGTTCTGGATGCGAGAATAATACCGCCTAAAGCATCAGGGCTTTTGGCATGGGGGACTTATACGAATAGACAATGGAACAAAGAGCGGCTAGCTACAGATACCCGTAGTCCTCGCAAATGACTGCAAAGATTGTCGCAAACACGAGAAGGGAGTAACGTGCGCGTGAGGGTTAACATCGATGCAGTTGCCATTGATCGCTTGGTTATGTGGCGTACTGACTGAGGGAGACCTGGCAGAAAATGCTGATGAAGACGATGGGTTGGATTCGGCATCCCTACAACGAGGCGTGTTGGAGTGGTCTACATTGGACTGCCGGTTTTCCCCCGACCCGCCGAGAAGTGGTCCGTTAATGCATGAAGATGCTTGACCGTTCGCTGACGAGCAATACACTTTGTGGGGAGGAACTCACTTCACAGGAAAGAGATGGAGGGATGTTGGTTTTGTCCAAGACAACCTCCACCATTATCATTCAATGATCTATATTCAGTACAGAACCATTGCTCGCTGCGATGACTGCCTTCTTCGGCTTTTGGATATCGACAAGTGGTCTTTGGCAGACCGGACATCGGTCGATACAAGCCGCCATGACATCCTGAAAGCAGCTACAGTGGAAGATATGTAAGCAGTCGAGTGCAGCTATCCAATCGGACCCATCGATAGCATCAAGGCAGACTACACAAAGTGGCTCAGAAGCCACTCTGGCTGGCGCCTTTAATCTTGTACGAGACGCCCACGTTTCGTACGGCTCTTGCCGAGGGATGAATGATGAGCGTGGTTTGTCCGGTACGGAGCCAACTAACAGTGCTCTGGTCTGAGGCGATAGCCGAGATCGTGATACCTGGCCGATGCAACGGCTACTGATGTGTTAGGCAGGCTCACACAATCGATGAAACGAGTAGGTTGATGGGCACTCACAGGACGACAAGGATCAATGCGGCAGCAAGGACACATGCAACAGCGGCAGATATCAAAACTGTCGGTGAGCGGTGATGATCTTGCGAGGTTTAGACTCTTCTGACACTGCGGCTCTTGCTGTTGGTCTTAGAATGACTGGCATGTTCGAGCTCGATCGTCTGCAGTCGGCTGGTATGTAATCGATGCCAACGGTCTCGGATCAGCGCTTTGGAGTGCCGGACGTTTGGACGAAGGTAGGCTGAGCTATGCAAGCAGATACATGTCGAGGCATATTCCCTTCCATACGTGTCAGGACCCATGAGCTTGCCCGCAATGCATGTATAGCACGACATGCCATGGTCCGATTCAACCCCATGTTCGGCTTCAAATGTACGCGAGGAGTGTCAGGTCATGTTATCAGGTGCACTGCGCATCAATATCATATCGCGTGACAGCTCATGCGGCAGAGGCGTTGATGCAACGAAAGCCCGGGGTCTGTCTCCCGGCCCGGCGATGGATATTCATCAGGTAGCACTCTCGTGCAAAGCGCAACTCACAGACCCCTTCCCAGCTGTCTGCAGTACTCACGGGGAAGGCTTCCATCCTATGACTTACCCAAAGTTCCAGGCAACGGTACCGCTGAATCACAGGGTGCAAGGATGGAACACCACAGCAAGCATTTGCAGTTTGCGTGACAGGTGACTCTGAGTCTAGTCAGAACGCCTTCATTAAGTCACGAGATGTGAGCAGTGTACTGGATACGGAAACCCTCAGGGAGATTGAATGCAATACCCTAGCTGCTACTGCCACTGAGCGCCCGGCTCGCTGCAAAGACTGAACATCCATAAGTAAGCATTGTCTCGTTTGCAGACGTATTTGGGTGAGATCGGAGCCTATGATCAAGTTGACTATATTAGATTGACAGTATCCGGAAAATCTCCATTGCTTGAAACGCATCCGTCCCATGTATTGCGTTCATATCAAAGAACTGATAGTTCGATCCCTTAAGTACTCGGCATGTCTCATGGTACCGGTGAGCTGTGAAAAGATCTTTGAGACTAGTGCGTCGTTGCACGACTGGACGCTCGGCAAGTGGTATTCCCACTTTCTCATGCTTGTGCGGAATCAAGTCCCTCCAACTGTTGCGCTGCTGTAGCTTGTGTCAATCGGTTTTGGTCCACTCGGCGACAGTGTCGGCTTTATCGTCAGAGTATCTCTGTCCCGGATGGTGGTGGTGGTGCAGACACGCCAGCACTCCACAGGGGCTGCTACGGCGCCCTGGTTGATGACCAGCATGCGAATCAAACGTGCTTGAGTGTTCTTGAAAGGCTTCGGGATGGGTACTGCTGTCTTGTTTTTAGAATTTCTCTACAATATTCTCGATCTCATGGTAAGCTTCAGCTTTCGAGATACCCTCGTGCTTGGGGTGGAGCCCGTCAGGTCATCGCGGTGTGTCGGAGGAGTGCGTCGCAAAGCTGTCTGCTCTTCCTTGTAGGCAATTGGAGCGAGTGTCCCATGCGAGGCCCCCGTGGCTGTCTCACTCGCACGACCGGGTTCTTTGCCGGGGATGGTAGAGTTGCAGTGAGTACCGGCTCCGCGGGTTGCTCTGTGATATCTCCCACGACGCGCACGGCGTCTCGGCGGCTCCGAAAGTATTCAGCTCGGATGACTGGTCACACTCGTCTTTGTCAAAGCCGCGGCCGGGTTCAGAGATGGTCGTAGACGTGGCCATATTGAAGAGCGTTCTAAGTACGATGGCAAAAGACTGATAGCCGTGGATATTATCTTGGGTCTGGAGGTCACAAGAGCACACAGGATAGGGGTGGAGATTGACATACACATCACGGCGGCACTAATCAGGGCGTTGGCCAAGCGCTGATGGCGTCATACAGACTTCTATGTGAATGTCCAGCGAGATTGCTGATTGTGCTTGCCTGGTGGTGCGGTGCTGTGGAGTGATATCAGGCGATAGTGAAGTCCGGTCAGTCTAGACTCCGCATGATGCCGCATCGCACGGCGACAAGCGTTCGAAGCTCTGCCCTCGCCAGACTCTAGAATTCGGTGCGTGTGCTGCGCCCGGTCCTCGCGACGCAGAGAGTTGCTGCGCCGGATCAAGGCGATTAGATTCTGTCGCAGCAAGATGCCACGGAGTGGCTGTAAACGAACGCGCGAGACATTGGCACCGTCAAACGTTTCTCGCGACTCTCGGCACATTATCATGTCGACTTTTGTATGTTGTTGACCACAGGACGTTCGAGAATGAAGTCCCGCGATTAGCGCTTACGGAAAGGCGGCCGCTTGCCTAAGAGGCAGGTACATTATCTAAGTGCAATCAAAGCCCGACCTCCCATTTCCCACTGCATATGCTGAGCGGCCACCCTACCATGATCCGCGTGGAACTTGAACTGGTCTATCCTCCTGCATCTGATGACTCCCGGATTTCTGCGTGCAAGTACAGGCTGGGGCACACCCATGAATCTGGTTCAGGCCGTCCTTGAACTCTATTACAAACTGCCACTTCAAGATACCGTCGCATCTCGAGCATCTCAAACCCTCGAGCGCCCGAGAGGCTTCAATCATTGGGGCATCTTCAACGCCTTCTAAGGTCGCTGGGGCGCTGGGGGAGGCGCAGCTCGTGCACCCCGTGTCATCGACCAGATCGGGCAATTTGGGAAATACCAGCTTGTCAAAATCATCTTGATCTGGAATCCGTCAGCAAATGTACACTACAAGCTTGTGGCAAAATACACACGTTGCAGCGTGAGCTCTGCGACCTTGGCTGGCGATAGGTCTGGCGAGGATAATAATGCTGGCACCGCTTGTCGCGACGCCATCTTCGCGAGCACCACCTCCTCATGGTCTAACGCTGCCGGAGGTGGGGACATCGGGTGTGGTGCGTAGCCCTGCAATATCTCGTGGTAGTGAAAGCCGTGAGGTGGACTTTTTGGGGTTAGAGGGCACCTGACCATCGTCCGTGTGCTCGTATGCGGACGGCGAATGCCCATTGAACATGGTGCTGCTACTGCGGCGGCGGACGTATTGAGGTATCATAGGCACTAACTACTAGTTATTGAGTACCGTGATGTATGAAGTAGTCGGAGAATGTGGTCTGGGGCTAGATACTATATCTGCTATTTGGGAGAATATGTGCAAGGGCAAATTCCAACCGCAAGAGGACAGCATTTGAGACGATGCGGTGGTGCAGCAGCACGTATCAGACCACATGGTGTTCCAAGAGAAGGACATGTGGCCAAAGGCGAGTCCAGACAACACATCACACGTGATCTAGCATCGCACAGCACGCAGTCCCTCTTCATTGGTTACAAAGTTAGGGACTTACCCGAGACCGCCCGCTGATGGTGGCGTGATATCACGCTTGATCATCCACATCACGCCCACGGCTTTCATGATCTCCCTGGCCACGAGGTGACTGCAATCAACCAGGTCGCCACAGTCACAGCCGACGACTACCACCGCAGTAAAGAACACATACTTAAGGTACTGTTGAAGCTTTCAATTCTCCACACAAAATAATATGATCAACACCGTCTACCAACCTCTACCTCCCACAAAACACATCGATATCATGGTTCAAGCTACCGCAGCCGCGACCCCACCTGCGAAATCTCCACCAGCAACAACGGCAATATCTGCAAGCAACCCGTCGGCTCAAGCAAAGAGATCGAACTGCCACCTCTGGAACGCCCACCACGCCCAGAAGCAGGATCCCAGTACCATACCGGCGCCGCGGACTCGAAGGAGATCACGCCGGGGCCTCTCCTGCGCCGCCGTAGCAGCATCACGGAGCGCATGATCGGACTCCTGCCGCATTATGACGGGCACAAGCATCCCTCGCTCTCTGACTCCGGTCCAATGATTGTCGAAGAGGACGCAAAGACCGGTATGTGAACCTAGTGACATATTGCAGCGATCGACAGTTGCTGACATTTGCGGCGCAGGACATACCCTTGCTTATGTCAACCGTTGTTGGCCGGAGGAGGACTCGTGGAGGCGGCAGAAGAAACGCGACAGCAATGGAGACGATTCGCTCATAGCACCAGCAGGTGTCGGGAATGTGAGCTCGTACTAAAGTTGGTACGATTTGAGGGTGGGATTCACAGCAGGGCGTTACTAGACTGACTCACGACGTGAATGACTACTTGATGGGATACTTTTGCTTCTTTGTAATGACCTGTCTGCATGAGCTTGCAAGCACAAGCTTCTCCCTTATCACCGCCGCCCAGCCATAGGCTCGAACCAGTACCACGACCCCGTCCAACAGTTTTATTTCGTGAATCCGTCCAACAACACTTCACCTACAATAATCAATTAACAATGTCGCCGGCATTGGCCATTGGGGCTGACAGTTGTGTCATATCACTTCTCCTGGAGATGGGATGACGTCTTCTCAGACTAGCCAGAGTACCTCTTCTGCATCATGATCACGGCTCTATGACATACGATATCTTCGCCACTGCCGACTTTAGCCTCCTTGACCGTTACTCGCTTGGACCAGTGCCACTCGGCAGTAGCGACCGTTCAGAGATCCACAGTATCACGTTGGTCAGCAGTGAAAAGGTCGAAAACTTCGAGCACGCCACGGAGATTGCGGCAGTTCTACCTGTCTGTCCGCGCAGCTTCGGGCTGAGGTATGGGCTCGAATCTGGACAAGACTAACCTTATTCCTAGCTATCGAGACGGACAGAGAGGCGTAGCTCATATTAGCTGCATTCTATCTCCCTGCAGTAAAGCGCTCGGCAAAGTGCTTAGTGCATTCGAGCGACAGCGTTGCCCTATAGCACGCCGCTCGCGCTAAAAACCGCGAGTTTCTTATATTTGCTTCGTAGCAAATGCGCATAAGTAATTACTAGTCGATCCGATTGCTCTCTAAAGGTACCTCCGTATTGCTTAGGCAAACTGTAGCTCGCTCGATCTGTAAGGTCTGCCTCTATATTACCTAGGGTTTCAATCTGTAAGCCAGGCTGCCTCCTATAACGTTACGACGGCACGATCTAGATTCAATGTATACCACCCGTGTGTTGATCCCTATGCCTTATGCACACAATACACAATAGGGGTACAGCGATACTCGTGTTAAAAGACTGACAACATCCCACGGCCGTTACGTATTTCCCGGTTTGCTTACGGAGTGGAACAAACGGACTACACTGCTTGAATGAGGCGCGAGGTGGCAAGGAGCAAAAGCGAATTTGTCATAAGGCGATTTGGCTTAAACGTAGCTGGCTTGCGTTGTGTCAAGCTTCGCTGCCCAACTACCTCGCTTTAGCTGATCGGAGCATATCACGACCCCTTCTATCGCATGATTGCATGCACGTCAGTGCGCTTCATCGTTGGCACGCTTCGCTGCTATAACCTGTGGGACGCTTGCCAAGCGTGCAACCGTCGACGATGATGTGATCATCCATATATCGTATACTATAAACAAATCTGGGCTCGCTTTCATGTTTGTATTACTGTTTCAATGTCTCGCTCGCATCTGCTATCTCATTCTCCCTAGCTTGGATCCACTCACCCATCTGCAAACTCATCGCCCGCCCTGGCGTGGTATCATTCTCCTGCCACAATCTTCACTTTGCCGCTGCTCTTGGGATAACAGTGCTCCTTTTTCGGCACCACGACGTGCAGCAAGCCGGCGTCGAGTCGGGCATCGAGCTTCTCCATATCCACATCGACTGGGAAGCGGAATTCGCGGCGAAAGGCGCCGATGCGGCGCTCGGCAATGATGAGCCAAGGCGGCAGGTCGCTACCGTCTTCTGCTTCCTCTCGCATCAACTTGCTGTCCTTGCCGACGGCGGCGTACAGGGACTGGCCGTCTCCGTCACCGTTTTGCGCACCCTTACGGTTGATGGTGGTACCGTTTGCGCCATGGTACGTGCTGAGCGGAGCAGCAGGATCACTGCCGTAGACGCCCTTGAAATGTAAGGGACGCGTAGTCGTGCCAGTGATGATGAGGTGACGCCAGCTTAGCCATTGGATGGCGAGCTCGTTTGGGTCCTTCAAGCCAGGGACCTCGAGGTCAATAAGGTAGGCACTCGTAACGTCGCTAAAGTCGACATCGGGCTGGTTGGGGTGCGCTATAGGGTTGGGCTTGCGGCGTGCGAGCACATCCAGGAAGCTGTTGTGCTGGTGCAGGCGCTCGTGCATGTGATCGACAGTCGGGCCCTCAGATCCGTAGTCGGCGAAGATTGGGTAGCGGGCCATTTTGGACGGGTGTTGCTGCTGTGGCGTCGGTTTGGTGGTTGGAAGGAGATGTGGTAGTACTGAATGATCTTGGTAGTGTTGCAAAGGGATACAATTGATGATATGGGATGTGAGCGTTTGGTGGTCGACGCCGTCTATACTTATGTAGTGAAGCGTAGCTACCACAAGAGGCCCTTCCCATGCACGACCACGCCATCCATATCATCCATGTCTCGTCCACGTGGCGCCATGTCACGCAGAATGGTCTTGGGTGTCGACCTTGGCGGTCCGCCCAGAGAGTGCCGCATAGCTCGCATAACCGTGTGACCTTTACAAGCTCCACGTTGAAATCCAATCGTACTGCGACGTTCACAGCCCTGGCAGCTAGTGGCGACCCCACCTCGCTCTTCATACCGAGCAGACCGCCAAGTTGTGGCCAGAACGAGCGAACGCTCCCAGCGCTGCGAATTCCGATTCACAGACACGTGGGTTGCGGGCGCAGACGAGACAAGCTCAACGGGCGTGTCCGTTTGTGAGTCACAGTTCTCCATCAGATTTGTGTAACGCTTAGACAGGTTGTCCGCACAGCCGTCGCGATAACGGAATAGGTGGTAAGATGTTGCAGTTTGATTTTGATGTTGCGTGAGCTTCTAGTGGCCTGCTTGGTCATGAGCGTGCACCTTCCTTCTCCACCTTGCGTAACAACCTTGAGACGTGGCGTTGCTAACGGTCAGGGTTCTGGAGACGGTATTCCCCGAGATGCACGTACACATTCTTATCCAATGCTGCCAAGTATGATGCCAAGCACGGCGCGGAGCACGCCGAAGGGCTGTCCCAACGACTCAGGCCAGACCAAATCTGGCAGGCGATTGCCCCTCTGCAACGAGACCACCCGAACTACATTACCACCAAGTACTTTGGCTCTCAAATAATCGTGATACACAATCACGCAACCACAAAGCTGTAAGACTATCGCTCCTGTCATCAACGCCCGTTCAACTTCGATCTTCGTTACGTGCACCGCCGCCGCCAAATCAACGATGAGAAACATGTTCACCGACAACAAGCCGACCTGTGTGGGAAATTTTGGCTTCTACCAGAAGGACACGATTCGAGGTAAGTCAACTTCAGCTATTTCATGCCGTATTAGCTAACATTGGCTCAAGCTATCACCTTGCCGCGCAACGGACACTCTCATTACCGAGAAAGCTACAACAGCATACCTGCAGATACGATGCCAAGTGCGTTCGATCCTTCCTGGCTTACCACACCCCCACGTGGGAGCGATTCGTACCAACTTTGTGGGACAGCGTCGCATGCTCACTCGACGTTGATGACGTCAACTTACAAGCTCTTAGAGGTCCATCGAAGGCTCTTGTCATCGCCTCTGCCTCTAGATATATCGAGCGACTTGAGATGCGGGATGTGCAGACGACTGCTTTCTTGAAATCATTAAAACAGCAAATCAATGGTCTACAGAAGCTTGTCCGCTGGGACGACTACTTAGTCCAACAAGACTCCCAACTCCTGCCAATGTTCGCGCAAGAGGATCCGTGCGCGGTTATCAGTAGATAGCGGGAAAGCAAGGTTGCGGCATGTTTGTAGCCGGGATTGTTGCTGGGGCAGTGACGAGAACAGGCGAGTTCGAGACTCTAGATTCGCTAGGTAGTGCCATTTGCCGAGAGTTTTCAGTAGGGTTGATCTGCATATATTTTCGGTGGGGCTTACAGGCAGAATCAGACGGAGAAATGTGACATATGTGTTCGAGACTTGATGTCACACCTACCCAATTGTTCCGAATACAGTGCGAACACGGGTTTCGGCAAAGAGCTCAAGTGGCCGATCAATTGTTGTTTGAGAAGATATATTATGCTGCTTATACCCGAGAGCTATCAAGTAGCGGAGATATTTCAGTCTTGATCTCGGTGTGCTCTAGTATAACCATTGATCTTCAGCAGATCGGGCACCTCAAGAATCGTGCAGAGCAGACTTGAGCGAAACAATGCTGGTGAAAGAAATGCAGGCTTTGCAACCCAGCTATGCGGTCGGAACCTGCGATCGTGTCAAGACAGATTACACTGGGAGGCTCGAAGTCAGCGTAGTTCTTTACCATGTGTGAATAACGCAACGGTAAACCTCACCAGAGCGGATTCGTTGGGAGCCTCGTAGGTGCAACTTCTCCAATTGTCTCAGCCTACTCGATGAATGTTTCATCGATCGCTTCGATTACTATCCCTCTTGAGTGCCCCGGGCACGGTCGACTCTACCGGGAAACGATTGTAAGCCGTCTTCTACCGTCGCCGCGTCGACTGGTATTCTGCGGGTCCTGCTCGACCTAGTCCCGTCAATGTCCGTACTCCTTGCACAATGGCCAGCATCAACAATGCACTCACAACGTCGAATAGATCATGGCGCTTAGAAGGATTGCAACATTTACAAAAACGATAAACAGAACTGTCTGTGACGGGCAGTCCCGAGTGTCGTTGGAACGAGTTCCAACATGATTTAAATCTGTGGAAGCGAGTGTGCGCAATAGAGTTGGTTCAGACGCTGAAACGTATGGAGGGAGGCAGATTAGACATAGCCTTACCTTTGTAGAGTCGCGTTGATCAAAGGTATTGAAGTAGGGTGCAGAGATGATTGTGTTGCACCGTGAGATGGAGCCATGATGCTGAATTTAATGGCCAGCCATAAGGACAACCGCCACAATGAATCCATGTCGCAGTGGCGAGGAGATCGGACAGCGCTGTCTCTTACGATTGTACACGAGACTAATGGCTCGACGTGGACATAGGCGCGTGCCAAGTGTGGCGTGTACTGCCATGTCATGATGGAGACTCAGCCCAACAGCAATTATGATAATCGATCACACGTGACCACTTGTGCGAAATGTGCTGGAAATTTGGTCACTCGAAACGATTGCTAACGTAAGGCAGGCGTTTTTGAGGAGCACGCAGTCTGCCTCAAACCTCGAAAAGCTCGATCTCAAGCTTTTTGTTCAATCTAGTACGCTGAATGTGCAGGAGAGATAGCAAGATAATATAATGCAGAATGAGGCAGCCACCCGCCAGTTGTGTAGTCGCCAAGCATCTCGACGGAAGGATGTGAGGACACGGACTGAAAGACGGGAAAAAGGAGGGATATCAGCGTGATCATATATGTATATGATCGAGTACCGTCCTGGAGCGCGCTCTGTTATGCTCCAAAGCTCCGATGATATCGATGAGCCACAGTTCGTCAAGAAAGTCGCAATAGCACTAATCTACTCTCTGGACTCTAAAATCACCATGAGCCCCGAGGAACGCAATTTGGACGGGGGCCCTCCGAAGGTTCAAATCTATCGGGAGAGGTGTCGCAGGTGCACCGTGTCTGGCATCGATATATTTCATGTTCACCGCTGATAGCTCGGTCCACGAAGTGCCATTCCAGAGTGCAGCCGCATCCCGGACAGCGTAGTTTACTCTGGCGGCGGTAAAGTTGTTCCTCAGGCACTGGAGGGGTGCACTCGCCGGTGACGCTCGTCTGACTCTCGATCTTGCGCAGCTCGAGCTCAGTCTGCAGACGAAGAGGAGAATATCCAAGGTCGGCTTTCACTAAGTGAATCATGTCAGCATGATTCAGCTACGTGTCATCTATCTGGCAGCAACTCACTGTTCGATCCGTCTAAACCTCGTCCCATAGCGTCCACATCCGTGTATGTCGCATCGCTGACGCCACCGAGGTTGAGGCGGCTGATGTTCGGCATGTCGGTGCCATCTCCACTGGTCCTCCGCCGCGAGACCACATGCGGTGATGAGAAGAGTGTTGGGACGGTGTCGACAGGCTTCAAATCTGTACGAGAAGGCCAAGCATGCTGGGGGACGGCGCTGCTTGAGGTACAGTCCGCATACGGGGTGTGTCCCCGCTCGTGGTAGAGCATCTCAGGCGGTGGTGTCCTTGGCGGCAAGAAGTTCACGTACGTGTCGCCGGGACAATCATCGGTGCCTTCGAACCCGAAAGGTGGCTGCCCAATAAACATGGTACTGTTGCGGCGTCTTATATACTCTGGCGGAGACCCCATGATTGCTTGCTGGTACTTTCCGATATCGTTTTCTTGTCTGAGTTGATAAAGTAAAATTCAGACTGCTTGCGGATCGTCTGGAGACTGTCCAAAGTCGTCTCATCATGCGTCCGCACACCTTGATATATGGCGTTTGACAGAGTGCACGGCGGCATCATGTCCGTGCGGTAAACGTGAGCCGATAGCGTCCAGCATGAGCAGACATGTCCCTTGCTCTCGGGCGAGGCTCACGTATACCACACACCACTGATAGAATCGCTAGCTCCGCCACCTTGGATGCACGTGCTGTTTTCCGTCGCAGGCCAACAGAAGATGGGAGAAGGAGCGAAATTCAGACGTATAAGACCACGTGGTACGTGCATCACGCCACTCGAGAAACGGTCAGGCGGCTGTGAAACGTTTTGGCCGTCAGACCTCTAGTCACCTGAGCCAGTGCATCGCACGAGATGCAGGCGTCAATCCTAGTCTGAGGTCACCCTAGCATTATCTAAATCATGCTACCTTGTAGCACATGGTGAGATCCTCTAGACAACGTAAAAGCAGAGACGCGATAGGCGCGCGGATTGAGCGAAGACACTTGTGCTGTTCGTCGGGTAAGCATAGAATCGAAGGTCGATCTGAATCACAGCTTTTCGGGATAACGACCTAATGGCCGGCTAGATCGCTGTATAAGCGCACCGCTTCGTATTTAGAAGGCAATGCTGATCTGTAGATGATGAGGAAGCATATCTTGCTCTACATGTACAGAAACATCGTTTTCATGCGGAGCGACCCTGCGTCAATACCCTTCATCTTGTTATCTATGTATGCTGACTCGCGTCTAGAGCCTATTTGTCTTGGCGAACCGGTGTCCTTGAGGATGCAGATTTGTCTCAGTGATTCCCGGGTGTGGTATCTAGAAAGGGCCCCCGCCAAGGACTTACCAAGGCCAAGCAATCCTGAAACCGTCGGCGAGTTAGAATTATGCGTCGCTGGCGGGTTCCGCGCTTGCGGTGGGGCCTTGGTCTCGCATTTGATCGGGCTAGGAGCTGGGAAGCGCCCGGAATAAGCCTAGCTACATGCCATTTCCACGTCCGACATTGCTTCCGTAGTATTGATGACTGAGTGATACTCTTCTTCTTTGCATATGGGCGCGAAGATATACCATGAGCACACACGTGTTGGGCTTTCGTGGGATGACTATTTTGGGAATGACTCACACAAGTCCTGTGCCGCATCCTGAGGTAGGGTTATTGGCCCTGCCCTGCATTCCATGCCATTGAACACTTGCTCTCACTGCTACCATCTCCAACTACATAGCCGAACAATGCGCGTATAGTGCATATTTCACGTCATCAAATACATTATCAAAGTCCTCTGTGCTCAGGATGACGAAAATCTCTATACATAGCTCCAACCAAGTGGAAGCCGACAGCGCAACTTGTCTATCTCGACAGATCTGCCGATAGCTACCGATTGAATGAGCTGCTGTTCGCTCGAGTCACCAGCACTATACTTTGCGACGATCTTCCAGCAATACGCAGTATGTGCACCGACGGTGTCTTCAGTAGTATGCTGCTGTTCCAACCGCCAGCGGCCTCGGTCACTTTCAAAATAGACCGGCTCGATAAGCGCGGCAGGAGCGAAAAGTGCATAATGGTCAACTGCGCCGACGGTGTTGAGGTGTCCCACGTATATGAGGCTTGGCAATTGCAACAGCCTCAGATAGAGACCGGAATTGTCTACGGCGTAGCAATTGTTCAGGAGCCTTGCGCTATGGTCGAAACGGAAGCCGGCGACCTAGTGGCGGATATCATAACGCTGCCACATATTCATGCGCTTGAGCTGCGCCTCAGTGTGCTTGAGAGAGAGGCGATGAGCATACGAAATGCGCTAGCTCTGCTTCGTGCTCGAGTCGCGACAGCTGCGCCTTGAGAGAACTCGCATGTGGACACAACAAGTTCAAGTTGGAGAGCGCTAGCTAGCGAAGGGTTATTCAGAATTTTACGCGCCGCTGTGCCACGGTTATCCATCCCTGTTGCACTCATGTGAGTAACAATGGTGGTAAGAAACGGTAAAAGCTACATTCACGGCGCCAAAGAAGTAAGAGGTGGGATTGTGATTAGCACTATCATCGTGGCGCATCGCGCAGCTGTCAGGTTATAAGGATCTGTAATGCCGCGTAGAACGCCCATATCACTCCAATGAAAGCATATATTGGATCATGGCCCCGCAACTACTAGCTCACCGATATCAGAGTTGGGACAGCAGTGAACCAAGCAATACCGAGTCGATACGCTTGACCTGCAATCTCAAAGGCACCTCATTTTCGCCATCGTCTACTCCTACGGCTATTACCATAACGACAACTCTGGCGATTATGCCAACAGCACTATCCACGAGCATTTCATATATCACCATTACAACAACGAGTTCTACCACACAGACCCCAGTACTCGTCCAGTCTGCTCCAGCAAAGACAGCCCTGAGGGATCTAACCAGAGCACAGGCCTCCGGAATTACCGCTGCTGCACTTGTGAGCCTGTTCATTCTCGCTGGCATTGAACTAGCTGTACTGTGCTGGCGTCGGAGGATCCGCTTTGTTCTTGTCCCGACGATTGAGACGGAAGAAGCAACTACGGTACCCCCACAACGCTCTCCTACGGCTTTCGAGGTCCCTGATCGAGCACTGCGACAGAGTCCTGAGCGTCTTGTTGATCCGGAGCTTGGCAATGAGGAACTAAATGAGGAAGAGAGCTTGTCACTATTGGAAAGCATCATGGAGATATACGAGACACCATTTCTAGCAGACAGTGGTAGCCCTGTGCCGGTTTCCGCCTTCTCTGTCTCTTCTGATGGCGACGGCCGAGTCGCTACCGGCCACAGCCAGCGTGTTACGTTGCAAGACAGCTTACCGGGGTCGAGCGACCAACGGGACTGGTATGCCAGACGAAAGACAGCATCATAGCACATACAGGTAGCGTTCCGAGGGAAGTCTTCGTTGACGTGGATCGACGGAGTCGGGTTGCAGTTCCGCAGAGTGTCAAGTATCGTAACGCAACCCAACACGTTCCACCTTAACAATTGACAGGACATCACCGTCTTGAACGAGGGTCTCACGCCTCTCTTACGTTTGTATCAGCTGTGTCAAATTTTCGCTGTTACCGTTCCTATCAGAGGCGATGCTTCGGTAGGGTTGAGGCGTGACGCCCAATCGATGAGGTAGAGAGTGATCCATAACAGTGATGAAAACAGGAATAGATGTGGTGATGCGCTCATCTCACACTTGCCAACGAGAGGTGAACAAATGCAGGTCACATGTCCGGGTTGTTGACGACCCCTTATTCTGCGGACAAATATTGCGCAACGTCTCGTTGACTACGAAACGATGGTAGAACTGACTGATCTCTCCGCGAAACTTCTGGTTCCGTCACCTTTGACGAAAGAGCCCGCTGATATTGTCTCAGGATATTTTCAGCTATCGTAGTCCCTGCGTTGGCACTAAGTATAGGTGTTTTCCTCGGATGTATATAACTTGCCGAGCTTTTGGACTGAATCTCTGTGCAGCTCAGCTGCAATGATGAACGGATGCAAAGCAAACCCAACTGTGGAAGATTACTATACGACTCTCGAATCGCGCTTAGGCTACCGCATCCTCCTAGGTAATGCGCGACACTGTGGCTATTGGGAGCCAGGAACTTTGTGGCCTTTCCCCATCGGCCGCGCTCAAAGGACTATGGAAGAGAAACTTCTTGACCGGCTTGGTCTGGCAGATGGGTCGAGAGTGCTCGACGCAGGAGCTGGATCTGGTATCGTTGCTAGCTATTTAGCGAACCACGGACTACGTGTGGACGCTATCGATCTGCTTCCTAGGCACGTTGCAGATGCTCCTCGTAGGATCCATCGAAGCGGTCTACAGGACTTGGTAGATATACATCTCGCCGACTATCATCATATTCCTGTGGCTCTCTTCCCAGATCAATCCTTTGATGGTGTTTTTACGATGGAAACTTTTGTACACGCCGACGAGCCTCTTAAAGTACTCAACAACTTTTATCGACTACTTCGTCCGGGAGGGGTCCTTGTGCTTCACGAGGCAGACTTCTATTGGGAATCCCATACACTACAAGAGATTCTCCGTCTCTCCCATTGCGGTAACGCTTTGAGGGAAGGCGAATACGAGCGACTTCTGTATACGGCGGGCTTTCGAGACATTTCTGTCAAGGACTATACGGCCAACGTCCTGCCGCTATGGAGACTGTTCGGCATGCTTAGCATCATTCCGTATGGATTTGCGCGACTTTTAGGTATCCAGAATCGGATTCCAAACACAATGGCCGGTGCAGAAATATACAGGTATTGGGGTCAAGGCCGGTATATCGCCGTCAAGGCCATTAGGCCAATCAGTAATGAGGGCCAGTGACAGACATACCTATGATCTACAGCCTCTATATAAGCGGTACAACAAACAAACATATATTCATGCACAGGTTTAGTGTCAGCTAACGTTGCGCTTCCTGGACGGGCGAAATGCTATGTCCTGCAGCTTTTCACCCACCCTTCCGAGACAGTTGGATGGCATGGGTAAGCATTATGGCGTATAGTGAATCAAGATCTGATGACTTTGATTGACCGTAGTCGCACTGGAACTCTACTTCGTTGCGAGCGGAGCGGCATCGTTACGCTGGACTACGGTCGGTAAAACAGACGCTGCCTTGTTAAGTATGTATGGACGGCTGAACACCAAGCCAAAGACAGAAAGATGTGTCGAATGCCTCCGGTGTAGCAAGTTGCTCGATTGGCCCACCCATCGTCTGAGGGTCAAACACAACCTCAAAACACCGTAGGCTCAGAAGCGAGTCGGCAAAGCCGCCATCAGAGAAGCGGTAGTGCCACCCTGGCGTGGGCCACGTGCCGTAGTTTGACCGATGGGTAGAAGCTGGCCAGATTATCATGGGATGCAGACATCTACTATCACTACTCACGCACCCAATAGCCGTGATTGTGGTGCGCTTCACATGCGCACCATTGCAGTTTCGTTGATTGTCCTTACCGACCAGAACCTTTACCGAGCCGAGCTGGCAAAGCATGATCCCCGTGTCGTCCATGTTGTAGACGGACCCTGCAGAACCTGTCCCAATAACATCGAACCAGTTCACTACACACAGGGCAAGTCTTGTTAGCACTAGCTCGACTAGCGCTGGCAAAGCCTGCCCTGTGCGCTGCGATTCCAATGTGCAGGTAACTACCACTCCCGTGCAACGCTTCGTTATGCTACGCATGCAGAGAGCAAACCACAATGGTCAAATCCGCCAGACTCGATACGCGCGACGTAGAGCTGCGGCTATGTATGCTACGGAAAGTCGAGTCATATCGATTGCGGTTGCTCCCTCTTAAGCCGGCAGACAAAGCTCGAGAGCTGCACAAAATTTCGCAAGAGTTAGTCTTGGGGCAGCAGGTTGCGCAAAATTGTGCATCTGTAGTTTTGCAATCATTTCGGCCAGTTACCGGCTCTCTCGCATACAAGAATCTCGTCGCTCTGGAGCAGACTGGACAGCAGGACGCACTATGGAACAGGGAGAGTGGAAGATGTATGCGGCTGGTAGCGAACGTCGCTTCGCACTGAAGCTTGCCAGTACTGATGCACTACGGCTGGCAGGATTGTACGCCGGGATACTTGGAGTCTCTGTGGGCAGCAGCTCAATCATATCCGGACTGGAAGAATGCCGTCGGTCGCCTCAATGCTGTCATGATCAGGAGACATGATGGTAGTATACGTAGTGGCTCTAGCCAGTCACAATTTATCGGAGTCGTGGAGGATAGATGTTTTACACACTCCCCAGTTACTCGAAGTGATCTACAAAACATTGCTATCTGGCACAAGAATGGGACAGTCAAAATTCGAGGCTATACGATTAGCGATTTGCAGGCGGAGCTTCAGGTAGTTGATCACTGGTTATCGTACAAGCCTGAACACCTCCGCTTCTCTACCGGTCTGAGGTTCATCGACATGCCCCACTCTGCGCAGGCTACGCATCTGCTCGCCAAGGATAAGTTTGGCATCCTCGTACAGGAAAGTCATGGCAAGAAGAGGACGAGACTGTCCATAGGAACACTAGAAGATGAAGGTTCACCTTGGAAGAAAGTAGGACTACAGAGAAGTGTGGTACAATCGACTGACAGGGAAGGCAGAGAGTCCAACAAAGGAGCGCAGATCGAGAGTAGCATTAGCGGCCAGGTGTCACTGGGCAGTGCAGATACAAGAGTAGACATATCTAGTCTTTGTCCCGAGGCCGAGGTTAGGGATATGGCGAATGAGTCCGAGGGCGAGGACGGGAATGAGGATGAGAGTCAAGATGAGAATGGGGTTGAAGATGGAGCTGGGAACGAGACCGAGAATGAGGCTGAAGATCAAGCCCAGGATGCAGATGGGGAGGCGGTGCCGAATACACCAGAGGAAGTGCCGCAGGAGACCATAGCGTCTGATTCAGCGTCGTCTACACCGACAATACATGAGTCTGAGTCCACACCGCGAGAAACACCCTTACCAACACCCATATCAACACCCGAAACAACACCAGCCACTTCATCAGCGGCAGACAGCTCTGAACCACCCCAGGGAACGTACGCATCGCTAACGCCAGCCTTCGAGTGCTCCGACTCGGTAGAGTATCTTAGTGGTTACTGGGTCGATAAACACTTGGCGGCATTGGTGACTTACGCGAAAGAAACAGATGAGCTAGTGGAGAAGGCGTGGTTGTTGGGATCCAAGTGCCCCAAGGTGTATTGTGATGGTGGAGGGCTGATCGGAAATACAACTAACGAGCTGGATGCTGACTTGCTTTGTCTAAGTGCCGAAGCTTTTGACCGAAAGGCTAAGAATCGTGAATGGAAGCCGCAAGTTCCCATCCTGCTGAAGCAGGACTTCCTTGACAAGGGCGCGTACACTCTCGATGAGGCGTATGTTCGTTTGCAACGGCGCTACTCCGATGCTAAGCTCCAGGTACAGTTTGGCCTCGGTGATGTAGGCCTATTGGGGGTCAAGGACTTCGCTACGGGCCGGAACCACTTGGGTCTGAATGCGATCGATCTGCGCCCGCTTATCAATGCTGATCGGCCGATGTTTACGCGCCTAGGCCGGTATAAGCTGCTCGAGGACCTCACCGAAAGTGTCCGGGGCGGCGGCAATCCCGGCAAGCAACTGGAGACGGTCAAAGTGGTACAGGGTGGCGGTGAACAATCAGAGGCTAGTGCGCGAACTGAAATCGGCCAAACGACATGGCGAGTTGCATACAGTTCGCCCTTCTAGCTCACAAGGGAGCGTTCAGCGGAAGTCATGTGGACATTGCGGCCGGCACGTTTGTGCGTCAGGTGTCAGGCGATCTCAAGTTTTGGATGTTCGTGAAGTCTTCTGACATGACGACCCAAGACTGGGAAGATCTCAATCGCGAAGGCTGCCATTGGTTACCGGGCGGCAAGTCTTTTCTAGTCCCGCTAGAGCAAGGCGACGTATTCATCATGCCGGCTGGCCCGAGAATCGTGCATGCCGTGAGCACTCCAGAGCCCTCATACATGGAAGGTGGTATGTTTTGGGACGAGTGTAACATTTTCCAGATCCTGGAATCAGTCCACTGGATCTGTGAGCATCAAGCGGCCACGAATGAAGCAATCCCATATCAATTGAGCGAGGTGTTAGTGCGCCTCTGGCGGCTAGTTGAGGCGGAGAAGGCGAAGTTTCGCAACGGCGAGCAGGGCAAGATGTTTAATAGGACGTTTCATGGACTACGTAGTAGGTTCAAGCAACTGGGCTGCTACTGCAAGAACTCCGCCCTGGATGATTGCCCATGCGACCTAAAGAGTCGTAGGTGTACTAGGCTATGTGAGGGGCATCCATATCTGCCCGGCCCCCATCACTCGTGCATGAAAGAGAAGATGGTGGAGGCGAGTGATGCTGAAGAGGGGGTTTAGAAGGATGTGGTATGCAACGTACCTTATCCCGCCCGAGGTTAGTGGGAGGCACATTACACGGCTGGAATGAGCTCCGAGCAGATCTTCGAGACCTAGATTTCTGTTGCAACGCAGGGCCTGTTCACAACTCTCGCAACTGTCTCCTCTCTTTTCCGCCCTGCAGGGTTCACTTAGCCCAATCCGCTTGTGTACGCTACCTGCTCCGTCTCTACATCCAACACCATGGTCGGCAAGTCGGCAGCTCGCCGAAAATGGTCTGCTGGTCGCGGTGGTTTGCGATCGCTCGTTCGACATGCGCGTTTGGATTACGTGGCTATAGCTCGAAGCCGTGGAGTCCGAATCTTGTACCAAGTCAGCTGGGAGAAAGGATACGACAGATTGATGTAGTACCTGGCGATTTCTAGCTGATATTCTGGTGGAGTCTAGAGATCTGTCACCCATTTCTCACCGGATCCCAGTAAACTGTGGGTCTTGATGCATCTGTCAAGTATCAGCTGTCTTTCTTCACTTGAGAGCAGTCTATGTCTCCAGTTGATGCTGGAACCTACAGATCAAGCCCACACTCGGACCATGAGCTGAGGCTTCCGTGTCGCCCTTGTCACCTTTGTCACCATTGCTAGCTTTATTCACCTTCCGATTGCGGTTACGACCGTCTCGGTAGCGGAAGGCGTGCCAGAGCATCCACCTAATTACCCAATTTCCTGGCGGAGTCTGGTCTCGATCGTGGCCAAGGACGTAAAGAGCTCGAGTCTCGGGTGCTGCACATTGGTAGATGTTCTGTATCTCGCTTTGTAGCGTAGCTTCACTAATCTGTGAATGATCGTATGGTGGCTCCACACCGGCGTTCGCAAGGGCCGCCGTCAAACGCACGCGAGCGTCTATAGCTTCTTGCTGTATACTATATCAGATCGATGTCGACATATTAGATCACTATAACTCAAGCGAACCTTCATCTTGGCGTAAGTATCGCGGGCAGATGCATTGTCTTTGTCCAAGCCAAGGCGCTCGAAGAACCTGCCTTTAGACTCACTCTGGGCCAATACAGGATGGGTGGGGCCCATGTCGAGTATGGTGGATGTTGGAGGCTCCTTGTGATGCCGTGGTCTCGAACAAGGAAGGCAGACGGATGAGGTAGCTGTTGTTGCGAAATGGACTATGGAAGAATGAGGGGTTTCAGAACCTTCAAATGGCATTTATTGGGAGAGCTGCAAGATTGCATGCTTGTTATGCCTGAAGGAGTAAGTAGCGCCCAGATCGCTCGAAGGCGGCGAGTTCGCGATCAGATCGTGACCGAAACGGCATGTCGCAATACCCAATCTTGAGAGTGTTGTCGCAAGAGCTAGCACAGTTGGCACTTGTGACACCCTTAGTGTGTTCGACATTCATCGTTTAGTCGGTCTTCATCGCTCGTCAGTCAAGATGGATCTGCAATGATCGGACCCAGGGTCCACAACCTTCTACTGACCTTTGTTGTCGAGAGCAGAAGATGCACGAGCCCCTCAAAAATCTAAATATGCATACTTGCGGCTGAATAGCAATGGCTTGGCAAGACAAAAAGCTTCGAAAGCAGTAGACCCGGAACAAAGCCCCCATGACGAGAAAGGACAATCGAGTGAGATGAACGACGTCAATACACCCCACTCACTTATACAATCGTGCACAGTTTCTCTCGCGGAGTATGTTATTCACGATGTCTGGCGATGAATATCTGTCTACGGCATCTCTAAATCTATGCAGTAGCATCCAACAGTTGACAAGCGTTGCCGTTGACGCGCCCCTTGCCGCACCCGCCTCTGAAGCCTCCTCTAACTGCCGAGTTCCGATCTCGATCTGAACCTTATCATTGCATGTGCTTTCCCTGTCGTCCCAAGGCCACTGCTATCTACCAAAGAGAGTCGTTCTCGCTCCATTGCTCTATCGCGCTGTTCCGCAGCGAGCATGAGAGCAATCGTAGTGCTCTGTCACGGGAGGCAAGGCGCTCTGTCGTGCGGGCACAGCCGTGTCGCAGAGCAGCCCCATGGCAAAAGGCAAGGCGTAGCACATGGTCATCGACATTCGAGGGGCTTAAAAGACGCCCTATTCTGTGAGCCAAGCAGTTAGGGAGTTGACACAGTCGCAGGTGCTCTGACACCCATTGCGTGGTATCGTCGTACTGCAGTGGACGAAAGCACTTAAGCTATGTCCTCGTGTGAGCTGGCTCCTTGTCGTCACATTTTCTGACAGCCACGATTCGAACTTCTTCTTCTTCTTGTATGACCGCCCACTCTGTCATCGTGTATCCTTTATCCCAGGGTTCTTGCTCCGTGTCCGCCGTTACGGCGATCATAACTCGCCCGTCAGGGGACAGCCTTTCGACGCGTCTTGTCTCATGGCCGTCTATATGGGTGATTGCAATGGCTTCACAAAGGCCGTTCTGTCGAAGGTATGCTGCAAGTGCGGACAAGAAAGATTGGTCTGGCGCTGGCACAGGGGATTCGGAGAACTCGTACGGAAGAAATCCGACATCTTCGTCCAAGCCGCAGTGGAACGCGCATGGGAAGATGCGACGATCGGTGACTTGCTCCATGCTGCAGTAGTCTTCGTCCATAAGTCCGCGGGAATGCACCATTGCATAGCCGGGGCGTAGCTCATGATGCCGGTGAAGAAGTGCTGCGCCGAATGTCAAGTTGGCGCGATAGTGCACAAATATGTGCGCAATGTCGTGGAGTGCATCTTGAATCGTGGATGGTGACAGTCTTTGTTGGTAAAGTAACCTGATCTGATTGTACCGCTGGCTGAGATTGGATATATCATGTTGACTCATTGTGACAATCGAGTGTAAGTGATCTTTTGATGGCCCCCGATGATGAGAAACAAGTTCAGCTGGCACCATACTTGCCCCGTGTCATCCGGGCACATGACGATCCCGGGCGGCGCGCAAGAGCTAACTTTCCGTCATAGCGTTTCCTTCTGAATTATCTGCACTGTGAGACTTCATCTGACATGTTGTTGCCGCCGCTCGAGCTTTCTGGATGGATGAACAATCAGAGAAGGTCGCCGAACAGGCTCGAAAATATTCGGGATCCATAGGTCGAGGACTTCTCAACGAGCAGCTCGCCGAGATTATCGAGTTCTCTAGCGACGCCCAGCGTCGAGACTGGTTTGAGCGGCATGAGACTGTACCCTTCTGGTACGAAAGATTTGACAAGAGTGGCTTGACACCATTGTTGAGCAGTCTTGCGGACTCTTGGGTCGAAGTGAGTAGGATCATAGTGCCCTCGTATGGACAGCTGGCTGACTGGTGGTGTATGTAGATCGAAGAGAATGTTAAGCGAGCTGCCGTACAACTCGATCGCCCCTCAAAAGCTGCAAGTAGCAAACTTGTGAAGGCGTTCGGGATGTACAGATTCAAAGCGTGGTCAAAAGAGCATTGGACGTGGGTGCAGCGGCCCGCTCTGAGTATTGTCAACCACGAAACGATTCGTGCTATGATCTGCATCGCCCTGGAAACCCCCGGTCCGCACAATGGTTTCCCTTTTGAGTTACAATGCGGGCAGGACGTGTGCATAGACGGCTACGACACGTTGTTGCTCCCTCCCACGGGCGGAGGCATGGCAATTTTGTTTTGGATCGATTTGGAATAGCATCCTTTACCGAAAGCAAGCTACGTACTTTCTTTATAAGTCGTCACGTCTTTGCGCAGGGTACGAAAGTTCGTGGAATTCGAAAGGGTTCACACGTGTGGTAAAGAGCGCTGCGTGCTTGTATCCCAGCGCGCCAGCAACTTGGGCAAGTCTAGTTACTTTAGCTGGAGTCACGGCATAGATATGAGCTTACTCACTCTATGTGTTCGCCCAGGATGTTATGAATGATCTTGGGGGCAAATATGGACGTCCAGTCGACTGGACTAGTCTGCACATTAGTTGTGAGCTCGTCCTTGCAGAGATTGGCCTTTAGAAAGGTCAAACTAGCTTCATAAGCGTCAGATACGGTGCAGTAGAAAGTCGGCGTCTTATTCCCTGGTTTCGCTGTCAATCGTGGGAGCTTGGAATCTGACAGGTCCATGAAGCCTTTTGCGGGCTTCGAGTAGCTTATTCTATGCCTCAGTACAGTTTTCGAGCCTGGGGTAGGTAAGTACGATGTGCACCAAGCCGACGTGAATGGCGTGCGTACCAGGTGAAAGCCATTTGTACTCATCGCTCCGGTAGGGTACAGCATTCACAAAGAGCTCATTCGCACGTGAGATGTTCCTAATCAGAAGTCTCTCGGGCTCAATGCAAGCGTAGTCAAGCTGCACGCGAAAATGCATGCCGCTTATTCCGTTCCCGTTGGTAGTGTTTAGTAGTACATCGCAGTACTCGGCCGCACTCCCAAAGACGTGGCCGACATCGACATCCCTCATGGACGCAGGGTCGAGTCGTAGCTGTATGGTGCGACTTTTTGGGACGGGAGTGCCTTCACGCGCAAGTCGTACTCTCTCCGAGGCACGACGTCTGCGCTTGACGACCGGAAATTCCTCATCAACCAAATATTGGGCATTGGCGTCTCGATCAAACACTTCGTCGTTGACGTTGTGTAGCTCGAGTTTGCAGAATACAGGGAGGTCCATGGCTATTATGGAAAGTAGCAATAAGAAAGGAATCGTTCGGTGTTGCAAGCCTGGTGCCAGCACCCGTATATATGCCTCTGTCAAAGACCATGGCTGACGAATAGGAAAGATGAGTGTGAGTACTAAACGATACAGCCGTTTCAGTTTTGGGAAGTGTGAGGACAAAGTGTTGTGGTTGGTGTACCATTATTGTTAGAACCTCGATGGACAACTTTCCTCGAGTGGAGCTCCTCCAGTCTGCTGAGAAGCTGATCTGCGAGCATGAGTACCGTCTTAAGAGAGAAAAGACGGTCGCAGAACTCGAACAGGTCCTCGAGGCTGGGTCCAAGTATTTCGAAGGCCATGACTCTGTAATCATCATGCCAGCCATACCAGTACAACTGCGGGAGTCCCGAGAGGCCTTCGAATTCCTGGTATCTCTCTGCTTCGCCCTCCAATGTTGACGGCGCGAGTGACTTGTGCTCCAGCTTCAGTGCTACTTCCTCGCCAGTGTGGAAGTCTCGCCCTGAAAGAAGTCAGTGCCGTTCACAGCTCGTCGCGATAAGAACCCTATGCGCACCCAGGTACACGGCGCCGTGGCCACCCTCACCGAGCTTCCTGATCAGTGAGTGTTTTCCATTTATCGGCCTGTCCTGCACCTTCTCGATATAAAGGTCCATAGATGCCAGGCTCGAGCGAGGATAAATCCGAGAGCTGCAGCTTCGAAAGCCTGCCGAACATAACGGAAGCCGCCCAGAGATCTCAAAATAGAACTGCAAGCTTCCCCACGTGCTCGCGGCACGCCCCGCTTATCTTAGGCAGCTAGAACTCTATTGGTGGATGTTGCTGCTCTTGACTTCTAACTTCTTCGGGCTGCACAGCCGGATGCTTCTCTGTCACCGGCCCACAGCGAAGACGGGTCGCTGTTTGTCCTAGGAAGGGCAGGTCCGTTCCCGCTGGAACCCGTAGCGGATTCGAACGATTGATCGCCTTATGTTTCCATGGCTAGCAATGCGCGATTTGCCGTGAGATCGTATGCTCTCGGCTTTTAAGTCAGCGGAGGCAATTAAGGGGTAGTTTCCCAGGGAGCCTGTCGAGATCTTCCCAATCAGGCAGGGTCGTAAAGGCCGTGCACAGCTTCAGTTGTCCACTGCATGTGGGTGTATAGAATCTTGGACAGTTCCGTCAGCACCCGTCAGAGTTTGCTGTCAAGGCACGACAAGGACTCAGCCTAGCAGTCACGTCCTCGCCATGAACACTTTGTGTGCATTGAGTTAGACATGCACTGACTCCTGTTTTCTAGCAGCCTGTGCAGAAGCAGAGGGGCGAAAGGGAAGGACGACGTTCTGGGTCTAGCTAGGCTTAGAGTCGTGTCGTGTCGTGTCGTGGAAGACAAACTGCATAGAGCGTAGACAGTGGGTCTAGCACCTACGGCCGTCAAGCTTACTGCTGCACTTGTTCGACCCTGCGTCGCCGGGACATCCCCGTCTGTGGGCTGGGGTCCCGTCGAAGCCACGGTCTTGACCGTCCGTGGCTAAGCTAGGCCATGCTAGTGGTGGCTAGAAGGCTTCTTGCTGACCTGTAAGCCTCTGGACACTTTTCCGGAGTGGGCTTTCGTCAACCATCAAAATGCATTGACCATCCGTCGAGACTGGAGGCTGGCAAGGAGCGAGCCAAGTCGACGTCACGTGGTCTACAAGATGGGCCATCGCAGCGACCTACGGCTCAGGCGCGTAATCTGCCGTTCTCGGATTTCGCTCCTAACGGACCTGGTATAAGAACTAAGGTTGATCCCCCGCTTGAAGAACGCAATTACCACTGTCAAGTATTACCACAGGGCTGACAGGATACTGCCCGTTTGTGCGCAGCCACGGTTTATCTCATTCAATCTTATTTGTTAACCTTGGTGACAGCCTGGGGCTAAACTCTCACCATTTGCCACAACGCTTGGACGCAGCTGCGCCCAAACCGGCGTAGTTCTTGTGGCGTTGTGACGGATATATGTAACGCAGCATTAACACCTTCCGTTCTTGTCGTTGACCGGACGCTCTGGACTCTCTGTGCTGTCATAAAATCAAGAGGAGGCCTTCCAATGTCTCGACGGGCAAACCAAACATTATCTCTGTGTTGTCTCGTCTCGACTCTGCCTCGTCATGCGCTCATCTGCTCTCTTCCTCTCTCTGGCAGCTCTGGCTGAGGTAGGCAAGGCTCGTCCACCGGTCTACACCCTCGAGGACGACTACGAGCCAGCCAACTTTTTCGATTACTTCACCTTCTTCAACACCTCAGATCCCACTCATGGCTTCGTGCAATATGTCAACCAGTCCGCCGCTAAGGCCACGGGACTCATAGCCAATGACAAGTCCACCGTCTACATCGGGGCCGATCATAGCAACATCACGCCTAACGGCCGTCCAAGTGTCCGTATCACAAGCAAGAAGGCCTACAACCGTTTCCTGCTTGTCCTCGATCTGGAACACATGCCATTCGGCTGTGGGACGTGGCCTGCATTTTGGACAGTGGGGCCAAATTGGCCAAACAAGTAAGCTGCACATGTCCGCTATTGCGCCCCAGGCCTGCTGACCGTCCGCAGCGGTGAAATCGATATCATCGAAGGCGTGCATACCAACCCCACTGACGCCATGACCCTGCACACCAGCGACTCCTGCGGCATCACTAACGACGGCGCCTTCTCAGGAACCATCTTAACCCCAAACTGCTACGTTGCGGCTCCTGGCCAGGGGAATAACGCCGGCTGCGGCATCGCCACCACCAACAACGAAACCTATGGTGCCGGCTTAAACGCCATCGGCGGCGGCGTTTATGCGACTGAATGGAACAGCACCGACATTACAATCTGGTTCTTCCCTCGTGGCAACATTCCCAAAGATCTTACCCACGGCCAGCACCCGGACCCTGCGACATGGGGCGAACCACTCTCGCAGTTTCAAGGCGCCTGCGATATCGAAGCGCACTTCGCGGACCAGCAGATCGTGTTTGACGACACATTCTGCGGAGACTGGGCGGGCAATGTATGGTATCCCTCTCTGTATCCTTCATGCACGGCGCAGGCAGCTACGTGCACGGACTTCGTGGCCAACAATCCGGATGCGTTTGCCGATGCGTATTGGAGCATCAACAGTCTGAAGGTGTATCAGCAGACGAGCGATTGGCATACTCCGGGACATGCGCCGTGGGGAGTGGACCCGTACCTTCCTAAGAGCATCAGCAGTTTGTGCCCGATTCCGACAGCATCTATGGGCTAATAGGGAGGGTAATGGAGCTTCATTGCCTCTTTTTCAGGCCCCGAAACTAAAAGTACACAGGGTCTTTTGAAGCTGCTTGCTAGCTTCAGATAGTCCGCTTAGCTAATGCTATCCGTCTGGCTAATCTGGTGGCTTGCTCTTATGTATGCCATTTCCTCTGCGTACTCTTTTGGTGTTTTTAAATTATAGCATGTAGTGTGTTGCTTGGTTACTTGTCTACCTTCTAGCCTACCCTCTGAGCTTCCCAATGAGCTTATTCAGCCTCCTAGTCTTCTCCCGAGCTGCAAGACCCATAGCTTGCCGAGTCCTACGAGGTCCGCTGAAAGTAGTCGCTTAATGTAAGGAGAGTGGGCGGATGGAATGTCACCAGATAGGCTCTTGCATCACTCGACAAATGACTTACGACGTAGGCGCTTCACATACGTTTGTGTAGGCGTTGCATAGCCGAAGCGGCTTCTGATCTTGGACATACGACCTGCTGCGTGATTCCGCGTCTCTTCACGCTGCTACACACCTCTACCAGGCTCATTACGCCACACTACTTGTTCAGCTCAAGTTATCTTAGCTTTAAAACATCACAAAAGGTTTTTGTCGAGTAGAATGTCTCAGAGACGACTCATTCACTCATTCACTCACTAGGTCTACTGCTCGATAGTGGCCAGACAGTGTAGGTTTAAATAACGTACCGGGTCAAATGAATAGCTCTCTGCTTCGACAGTTCCTCCGTCCACTGTAAGGACATGGGGAAAGGAGCTTGTGCCAGTTTGTACGTCAAGTAGAATTGAGCTAACATTATCCTCTTCGACACGCGTGAAAGTCGTTGGGAGACCATATGGTCGTCGATTTCTCTGACCAGGCCCGGTAGTGCTTTCATGAATCTGAGAGGCGTTGCAGGGTTGTTTGTAAGTGGCCCGTCCGGAATCCATGACGATGGAGCCCATGAAATTTCGGTCTGTACGTTGAGCTACCATTCAGGTTCTAGATACAACGTACAAGCATCTGTCTGGCGATCCGTTCATTGGGGCTTATCATGCTTCTTGCGTCTTCGATGGTGCTTAACACTTCCAGATCTGCTGCATGTGAGAGCTGGACCCAGCCTTGAAGTTTATATAACTTTATATAACTTCAGTCCGTCCGCTGGAACAGCCTGCAAATGTGGACTTACTCACTGCGATCCGCTTATCGATCCAAAGAAAGCACGAGAGGTCAGCATCTGGAGAAATGCTGCAACGCTCGGTACCGTCCTTGCCTCGATGACCGTGGTGCTCCAGTCAAACGTGACCATGTTCCAGACGTCTCGTACTCTGAGAAAAGCCTAGTCCAGCCCCATACAATAATGTCATTCTAGCAAATACACGTGTATCTGGATCAACTGCCATCAGAAGAGGCAAACTACAGGCTCCAGACTACAGTCTCCTGGTGCGCTCTTTACAATCAAGGCAAGGCCCTTTCAAGTCACAGTCGTGACTGATTTGATTCCAAACAAATTCGCTTCTTTCACAACCATCAACCATGCACCTACTTAGGAACACGGATTCACATGTCCTACAAACAACCTCGTGCCGTGCTAATGGGCTCAACTGTCGGAACAGCTCAAATGCAAGACCATCTATCTTCTCGGTAACTTCGACGACTCCTATGTCCGTTGGGGTTGCCATGCGGAACAACGGCGAGTCGAGTTCTTCAGTACATATGATAGGGCTGTTATCGATCGTGAGACCGAACGGCTTTCCCCAAGATGCTTGATCGGAGCAGCTCATTACTTGTTGGAACGTCCAGGTCGGTGTTGTGTTCAGTATACGGGCTTGAAGTCTGGTCGCAGCGCCGGCCTTGGAGCTGCCGCCACCAGAAGTTGTCCATCAAAAAGGGATATATTATGGTCCAAGCGCAATCGAGGCTCCGGAGGACTTTCACGATCGTGAAGGGCAAAAGGAATCGTCTCATTATCGCAACGTGTATCAGAAATCTTTTTAACTGCTCTCAAAGTGAAGAGTGACTCAACGGTCCTCGCTCAGTTGGAGAGTCGTGTAAAGGCGACTGCTCAATCATGTCCAGTCGTGACCCAAGCATTGGTTTCCTGGGAGTGCCATACCCATCCATTGAGACGTGAAAGCCCTGCGTAAGAACGCCCGAGCGAAACATGAGACGGGACATATTTCTGCAAGTAGCCGTGTAAACAGGTCTCCGAGGGCAACGGCGGTATGTAGCCTCTGCTAAGCTGTCTACTCCCAACGCCGTCCACGAAGGAACTTCATTACAACTCTGATACAACGGTACCGAGCTGTGATTTTGTTGTGGGGCTAGTACAGCGGCGAAGTCGGTGGAAAATCGCTGAAGATGTGAATGAGCAGCTCATTGGATAGCCTTAGCAGATGACTCTTATCGGCGCTATTGAGTGCTGCCTGAGGTTTGGTGATGCGATCGCCGCACAACACATAGTACTGCTCGAGAAGCTTGAGCGGCAGGACCCGCTCCAAAGCTTGTACGTCCGTACCGGGCCACAGTTTGGCAGTCACCTGTAGATGCACGGTTGTAGAGTCCTGCCCTCGTACCGACAAGTACTAAAGGACATGAAGAAGTATGCTAGGTTACAACAGGTCTAGAATGAGGAAAGACCTAAAAAATTTGAGGGTTCTATGAGTCCCACCACTGTACGTCCGACCCGTCACAGTCCCGCTAACGGCTGTCTACAGGGAGGCGTTTGCGCAAGAACCTTATCTGTCCATAGCACCCGCGCCCCATCCGTCCGCTGTCCTTCTCGGCTCTGTGATAGAGACGGTGCCGGAAAGCCATCGTCCAAAGACAACGCCGTTGCAGCTGCATTCGCCTTTTTTGGCGACCGCCCGCTAATGTAGACCTTGGCGCCTGTCAGACGTAGGGTTCGAGCTGTTTCGTACCCCAGCCCATCAGTGCCGCCTGTGATCAAAGCTGTCTTTCCATGCAGCTTGCCTCTGAGGCTGAAGTCGTCCGGGATCTGTTCTGCTGTCGGTCGGCTATCACCAGGTCCCTTAGTGGCATGGTGCAATGCGGCGTAACGATCCATCTGATGCCACTGCTGTTCAATGGCTGTATACTTGGTTTAGCTGAGGATGTTCTGTGATTAAGGTATGCTGAAAGTGACGATGCTTCTGCGCTTTTAGCGTAGAGCGAAAGAGACATGGCAGCGAGATATACTCGCACACCTACTCTTTTGCGGCAGCGTTCGATGATCAATGCTGTGAACAGTGCGCCTGATCTCGCTATCGGCCAAGAATATCATGATTGACCGACAGCCGTACCTTGGGAGGCTTTCATGTGTACTAGTGTTTGTAAGCAGAAAACAGTGATGGTCGACATGTACTTCTAAAGACCGTGGCCTCAGAGTGTAACAGGGTCGTCACAACTAGCGCCAGGGACCAGGAACACCCCGAAACAGCGAGCTGTGGAAGTCCTATTGCTAATTATCAATCCAACCTTGAGTTTGTCATATCAATTCACGTGACGTACGCTGTTGCGAATGATCTACCCATCGCTCGCTCGTCTTGTCTCGATCCACGCATCAATATCCAACGACGCTGTTGGTACTGTCATGGTTGTCGAGACATGGCTGGCGACGGGTTGGGGAGACTGGCATAACGAGATGTGAATGTTATAGCGAGACGGGCAGTGTAGTGTCGAATGAAGATCTGAGACAAAAGGAGCATATAGGAATGTATTACGTTCTTAACGCCATGCCTTACCACTCTCTTCCACCCACTTTGCGTAGTTTTCTGACTCCTTCCCGAGCAACTCGACCTGTAACTCATACTCCTCCGGAGTCATACCGAATCCCACGTTACCGAAAGCCTCATACATCAGTCTCAGATCTCTACCCCAGCCACTGGAACCTCCTTGACCTATGTGAGTCTCAACACGATCCTCCAGTGTCAACATACTCTCATCATCGTTGCCACACATCTTGACTGTGCGTCCGATGGCTTGTGACCACATCTCGGCAACTTCAGAACCTCTGTAGCGCCGCAAAGAACCGATACTGACCTTCTTGCCGGCCCAACGTTCTGGAGCTAAGATGGCATTGCAAGCCGCAAGCGCGATGTCTGACTCGAAGGCTCGGCCTACCCCAGCCTCACCAAGAGGCTCGTCAAAGAAGCCGTGCTTCAGCATAGAATTTTTGGATCTCAAGTCGTTGCTCACAAACAGCAATGGTCCTAGTCTCGTCGTCTTCCAATGGAACGCGCCGAACATGAGCTTCTGTTCGATCGTGGTCTTCACCAGTACATGCGCAGTACTGTGCACGTGCATGACTTCTTCAACACCATTTGCTGAGACGAAGTCTCCGTAGGCCGAGAGATAAATGAGTTGCTTGACGCAGCCGGCACGCTGCACGGCGTCTAGGAAGTTGAGTGTGGTGAAGAGCTCGTCGTTACCTGTCAAGCATAGGAAGACTACGTCCACGGCGTGCTTGGTCAGGATGCTCTGCACCCATTGTGCGTTCTTGATGGAGCCCGTCTCGATGGCTACACGGTCGGAGTCTGTAGTGAGGGCGAGCTTTGATTGCAGGCGTGCAGCATCGGATCTTGGAAGTACGAGCTTGAAGTCGTGCTGGAGAAGCTTGGGCACGAGTGCGGAGCCGATGTTGCCTCCAGCGGCGGTGATGAGGACGGTTTGAGTGTGGAGTAGAGACATGTTGCAAGTAAGTGTAAGGTCGCTAAGGTCGTAGCTATAGGATGAACAAGGAAGATCGTTGTCGGTGGTGTGAAGTGGACTTCGCTTGCGGGGGGCTTATGTCTTATATTTCACTCGGGAAGTCGAGACATAATCAGATAGTGCCGCCAGCGATTTATCATGGCTTCAAACTACATTATGGAAGATATGTCCGTCCTGACTAACGATCGCTGCGAAAAGTGCGAGCTACTCGGCGCCTGGCTGGCGCGACTATATCGGACCGCGTCTCTCGCGTGGACTCGGACGATTCTCGAAGGACAAGCCAGCTGTCCGAGCATTCATGTGAAACTGTGAAGCTGCACGCCGCGATAGACCGACATCAAGTCGCTAAGGATCGTGCATGTTGATGAGATTGAAGACACCTGGTGATGGTAATGGCAAGGAGAGCTGATGGCCTATTATGTGTAGCCTACCTACCTCGACAGGTACGGCGAGGCGAGCGGATTGATCAGCGCCTTCGTATGGCAACCAATCGGCACTTACAAACCTTCCAGATAAGCTCCGTAAGTACCGACCAGGAATTTTGCCTGGGCCTTTGTTCGACATCAACCACAAAGCTTCAATGGTCGCGGGCGTTTCTACCGTCCGATGGCACTTCTAGAACCCGTGAGCCAAATGCCATATAATATGACTGGACAGCGGTCCAGGGAGTGTCAAGGGTCTTCCACTCGGACCACATACATAGAGAACATACAACATCAAACCGCCCATCTACGAACGAAATTCTGTTCACAATGGCCAACAACGAATTCGACGTTATCATCGCTGGAGCTGGTCCCGTGGGTCTCTTTCTTGCATGCGAACTCGCACTCGCCCAGGTCTTCGGTTTTCGTCATTGAGAGAAGACTGGATCACGAAGACACTTGGTTCTCTGGACCTCTTGGCCACCGAGGTCTCAACATCCCATCCACCAAGGCGCTCTATCGGCGCGATCTGCTTGCTGGTGTCTTCGGTGACCTGTCGAAACGATCAACAGACATCAGCGTTGGGTCATCCGCAGGTCATTTTGCTGGCTTGCCCATACCGTCCCGTCTCGACGTTGCCCAAAGCTCATAACTCTAGCGTCACACTAGCCTTTTAGGCAACAGCTTCGGTGTCCAGATCACGGCACGATTCCCCCCAATGTCAGGCATCAGACAACATTGCAGGCTCGGCTTCGCCATCTCAACCGGTCAGGGTTCAGCTCACTAGACGGCCTGTCTCAGCTGAGCTCGATCGCCAGATGACCAATTCGAGGAATCGTTGATGCACTACATACGACTCCGCGCATCTGATTGGACTCTCTCGTTGCGCGACACCACTGGGACGAAGAATCTCCTACTTGCTTGTGAGGAGGCCTTCCGAAATTCTTGCCTTCTACAGCCCGCACCATTGATTCTGTGCGTACGAAGTCGAGCAGGCCGTTCCTTTGCGTCCACCCTAGCGATTCGCATCATTCCGATTGTCATCACCTGCATCCACAGATAGAGTTCACGAAAATCCAGAGCACGCCCTTCCGGATCATACGCGACGAGAACGAGCCTCGGAGTATCGTCCAATTCAAGTCATTTACAGCTGAAGATTATAAGAAGATCAAACAGAAAGAGCACGGCAAAGAGCACAAGCAAATTTCCAAGATCAAGTACCACCAGTTGAACGCCGGGAGCGACACCATGTTGCAGGCCAACAGCACGGATACGGTCCTGACGAATGGTTTTGGACCGGTGCGGGATGCTAAGCAAGGGTCTGTATTGACGCCATCTGAATTGTTCCGAGTCGGAAGTGACTATGACTGTGAGATGGCAAGCCTTTTGAGTCTCACAACCGAGCCTCAGGAACTTTCACGCGAGCGGAGCGATTATTCGACATCGCCTGCCTCGATCAATGAGCTCTTCGAAGCTGCAGATCTGTCTTTGAATTACTCTGCACCACGGGCAGCGCAGCTCTTCGACACCATCTCTCGTCTTGAATTCGCCTCTGATTCTGGAGGCATCTCAACTTTTCCAGACGACGTTTTCACACAGGATACAGGAACGGCCTCGACAAGAGAGGTTGCTCCAGGGACCCTGGAGCCTGGCATAAGCGCTACTGACGGGCGTCTCTCCTACCATATCAATGAGCCGAGAGTGTCGCGTTCAGGCGCGCGGGCTAATTTCGCCGTGTTAACGGATCCCTGCCGTATGGATTATGGCAGAACGCCAGTGACGACTCGGACAGTAGCTCTGGACGGCACAGACGACAGCTTCGAGTCACTGCACCCTCCACAGTCCTCCAGCATACCGCTGCTCCCATCGGAAGCAAATACGGAGCTCGATCAAGGGTGCGCGCAAGAGAAGGACAGCCTGCCACATCATCTGCGAAGCACGGCAGGATTATCTTGGGCCAGGATTGCGCCGTACTTTCCGCGCACCACCAAGTCGGAATTGCGACGTAGGTTCGCTGAGAACATGGCAAGCACAATGCAGCATGGAAAGGATATCGTTCCGCCCAAGCGGAAGAGGGGACGTCCGCCGAACCCAAACGGTAGAAATATTTGGATGTCGTACTTTGAAGCGATCGATCCAATGCTCGCCGATCGGCCGTTGAGTAGGAGGTCGTGTCCTCGAAAGCTATAAGCGCCCACGACGGATTTCGTCAGCCATTTGTACCGCTAATGCAGGTAAAGCGCGAATTCAGTAGTTGTCAAACATACGAGCCATCGTACTAGAGTGCTCTCTTCGGCGTTTGACGGACTTGCTCAGATTCATGTGCGTGCGATCGTGAATCCCGTCCAGCAATGCGGTAGGAACAGAGTAGCAGGAGGGATGCGGAACGGTTTAGCAGCAGCTCGTTTCGACCTATACCTGCCTCATCTGTGGGCTGAATAGCGCCTACTATCCTAATATTAGGACACGTGTCGTAATCGCCTGTGGGAGTGTCCATTGTTGGTAATGTAGGGATTTAATTAATCAAAATACCAGAATTGTGTTGCGCTTCTGCATGTGCCGCTTTACCCCGGGGGAATATGTGACAATTACGTCATCTTAGAATCGATCGTTGTTACCTGCCAGAGATCCGCCGTTGCTTGCTCATGCCCTGCAACCATCATTGCAACTCAATTACAAATTCTTTGATCGTACAGGAATCTAACCTGGTATCTCGTTCGTAAAAACCAGTAACTGAAAGAGTGCTATGGGTTCCCATGTGCTCAAGCCTGCTAAACCCAGTGTCACTGCATCTTATCTCGTATCAGCAACAATCATCTCCGCGGCTCGTTCTGCGACTCCGTACAGCACAGCCTGCAAATGTGCGCCGATAGAGACTGGCAGGACACTCGCATCGACAACTCTTAGTCCTTCAACTCCTTTTACACGGCACTCTGTGTCCACCACTGTGCCCATGGATGCTGTGCCTGCAGGGTGATAGTAGGTCCATGCACAAGCTCGGATTCTCTCATCGAGTTCATCATCTGACGACTTGGAGTTAAGTGGAGAGAACTGCGATGGTGGCAGCTCGCTTTTTGCGAATCGCTTCCCAGCTGCGGAATCCATCATTTCTAAAGCCAAGCGCACACCAGCCCGAAGAACAGCTCGGTCGTGCTCGGTTCCCAGATAGTTCGGGTCCACTACCGGTTGATCATCTGGGTCGGCGCTTGTTAAAGTCACTCGGCCACGGGATGTTGTCGACAGACCACATATTGAAAGCGTGATAAGCGAGCCATCCATGCTTGGTGGCGGGTGAGGACCCGTAGGAGTAGCAACATACATGCATGAGATTTCGATATCATCCTCGCGAAGAGATCGTTGACCATCCACTTTAGCAGCATTTCTCATCTCGAGTTGTGGTGCTGGAGCATTGCTGAACCAGTCCATAGGATTTCCACCGAAGTATTTGGAATTCGCCATGAACTTGTCCGAACCCACTGCGAGACCGGCTTCCGGAGTTCGCAGTGGAAACCAGAGAGATATGGAGGGATGATCATGTAAATTCCGACCCATCTCTGTTGATTCCACTTGTACCGGAATCGCAAGTCGCTCGAGCTCATCTGGCCGTCCAATTCCAGATAGCATGAGCAGCTGTGGCGTTCGTATGGCGCCGCAACTGACGATCGTTTCAATCCGAGTATGTAAAGTGCGATTATTCACAAGACGAATACCGGTCACTTTCTTATTCCGAACTATGACCGTCGCCACTTGACTATCCGTGAACAGCTTGACGCCATTCAAGTCATAGGTATTCGCCGCGAAAGACCGCTCACCATCGTGCCAGGACTCTACTAACGGCGATACGCCATAGGGATTCCCACAGTTCTGGTCCGGGTTGAATGGTAAGCCCACGGCCAGCATCGCATCCCGAACATGATCTCTAAGCGGGTACCCGTGGCCCCCTGATGATAGGTGGATCGGGCCTCTATAGCCATGGTTGATCTTGTCTTGCAAAAGCGGGTACGTCTCGGACAGTTTGAAGTAGGGAAGCAGTCTATTGTATGTCCAGCGCTCGTCTCCGACCGTAGCGGCCCACTCGTCGTACCCAGATTTATCACCTCTTGTCCATGCTCCGTAATTAACGGCAGACCCGCCACCGAGTGTTCGGCCTGTTGCCAGTGGGATGGAGCGGTAATTTAAATTCTTCTGTGGTGTAGTGATGTTGGTGTAATGGTATTTCGTCCCCGCTGGGGCGAATGCTCGAGAGGGCGAGAGGATGTCCGGACTTTCTCGTGCATCTGATCCGGTCTCAATGAGGGCCACTGTCCGGTGTGGGAAGGAGTTTTTAATGCGCGCCGCGACGACACAGCCGCAGAGCCCGCCACCAACGATGATATAATCGAATGTCGTGTCGTCGCTCATTCTTATGCGTATTCGTTGAGCAACTTTGTCTTGGCAATATCTCAAGCTCCGAAGCTGGTGTAATCCTGGTTTCAAGAATAGGGTAAGATTACAAGGATGGCCGCAAAGGTCCGGTCCATCATTACATCAGCATCAGCGCTAGTGAGACCTGACAGTGTAAACTCCGGGCTCAAGACAGCACTAGATGACGCCCATTAGCCTAAGAGCGCGAATCTCTTACCAATTACGGCATGTACTCCATGTTGCGCCCAGTCGGTGAGTCCGACGTTGTTATCGACGATTCAAATCTCCGGTGTCGGGGGCGACGAGTTCTTATCAAGACGGACTAATACTTTTGGGTCGCATCATGAAGGTTTCGGAAGTATGTATAATCCCAGGAATTCTTGTTCATCCAAGCCGTATTGCCCTTCACCGACTTCCTCTATATTCTGTTCCACTTAGGTAGTGTTCCTACATCCTTCGCTTTACCGCTTTAACAATATAAGGATTGGCCGGCGAGCGATTCGACGCCAGTATCACCGAGCGCGGGGCCTCCCCGTAACCCTGATCTTGTCTCGTCGCGCAACTAAGGTCACCTCCCTGGAACAAGGCAGGATCGTCCAACCTGCGACCCGGTAGGCCGGCCGAGGAAGCTCTTCAGGATAGCGAGGAAGGTAAGTCATGGCTTCAGCATACAATGCACATCTCGATATCGGTGCCTTGCCGCAAATGAAGACGATAGGCGTGCTCGGCGGCATGAGCAACCAGGCGACCGCCGAATACTACCGGCTTATCAACCAGGCCGTGAATGAGCGGCTTGGCGGCTGGAACACCGCAGAGGTAGTCATCAGCTCGGTCAACTTTGGCAACATCGAGCGCTTCGTGCGTGCAGACGCCTGGGCGGAAGCAGGCGAGTACCTCGCCACCAAGGCGCAGGGGTTGGAACGCGCGGGTGCCGAGCTCCTCGTCTGCGTGTCTAACACCATGCACCGTGTAGCCGACGTCTTCACAGCCGGCCTGAACATACCTTTTCTCCATATTGCCGATCCGACTGGCGAGGCTATACGGGTGGCCGGTCTGAAGCGTGTGGCGATCCTTGGCACGAAGCCCGTGATGTCGGCCGCCTACATGAAGGATCGCTTCGCAGAACGCTTTGGCATCGAGGTGATCGCGCCAAACGAGGCAGAACAGACGGACGTCGATCGCATCATCTTCGACGAGCTTGTGCGGCGCGACTTGCGAGAGGACTCGAGATCCGCTTATCTGGACATCATGGACAGGCTTCGTGAGCGTGGTGCAGAGGGTGTAATCCTAGGTTGCACCGAGATATTTCTGCTGGTGTCGCAGGACGACCGACCGGACTTTCCTATTTTCGATACCACCGCGTTGCAGGTCGGGCGTGCCGTCGTCACAGCTTTTGAGAATGCGTCTGTGACCTATCTCTAAAAGTGGCTCTTCGCCAGCGTGGTAGAGTGGACGCCCCCTGACGGCATCGATGTGCCAAGTTGGCATATCGACCGACCATATGAGGAGGCGTCCAAGGAGCAGGCTAGCACGATCGGGCTGGGTCTCGCGAAGCACATACTCCAAGCGCCACGGGCTGGATGCGACCGTCGATCAAACGAAGGATACGTGGCTGACTTCTTCGCCTTTGGAACGAAGCGTCATGGCGGACAGTGTCAGTTGTGTATAGCTGAACCATTGGAACTAGACACGGAGTTTTGCATGGAAGATCTACATCGGGTAACTACGATCTCAAGCGAAGGTGGCTTTACTAAATATCAGTGGCTGTACACGGAGGACAAGGACACGATCATTAACATAGACGTGTTCTTTCAATCTCATGATGGGTACAAACCGCAAGGAGGGTTGACAAATCCTTAATCTCCATGGTCTCGGAGTGCGAGCTGATTGGTACGGTCCATGCAGAACTCTTTTAGGGAGAGCAACGCAGATGGGGCCGGGCGCGCTTCTACACAATACACATTAAAGAAGCTTTGCGTTAGATAGCTTCCTCCGGTACCCACTCACTTAGGGTCTGTTCGCCTTAAATTAACGTAGTTCACGGCTTAGCGCAACACCTGGCTGAGCGTAACAACATGCTCCACCTCTCCTCATCGCTCACGCGATCCACCTTCAATGGACGCGACAACACGCGTTCGCTTTGCGTATTCTGAGAGCGATATATAAGGAGCTCTTACGTGGTTGAAGTCAGGCAAATACAAGTCACTCCGCGATTGCGTGACGGCGACATCCATTCCTTACTCTAATATCCATTACCGTCTGTCTGGCCGCACTTCACGGGCATCCGCTCACGAACAGAGGCAAATTCTCTCCAGCGCTGAGGAGAAGACTTTCGTGCGATGGATCTCATGGCTGACAAGCACCGGTTTCCCGCCATCGCCAGCATTAGCAATAGAAATGGCAGAGGAAATCCGCCGTTCTCAGACTCAGCTTTCGAAGACTCACCCTCCGCAGCCCTCAAACCTTCGACCCATCGGCAAGAATTGGCTCGATCGCTTTCGCAAACGACATGTGGAGGTTCGAGGGGTCTGGACGCGCCAGATTGAGAGCGCACGTCACAAGATGACCACTCCCGAGGCGGTCAAGCCATGGTTTGAGGCTGTTACCGAGCTTCACCTGCAGCACCGATACCTTTCTGAGCACCAATACAACATGGACGAGTCCGGCTTTGCAATGGGAACAAGTCAGTCGTCAAGAGCATTAGTAACATCACGGGACAGATCGAACTGGAAGGTCATACACCGCCGGCAAGAGTGGATAACAGCGGACGAGTGTATCAGTGCCGGCCGCATTGCGTTACCAACCCTTCTCATCTTCAAGGTGAAGTACACCAACAGGCTGGATATCCGAGCGGAGGCGGCTGGACTGGCGGTTCTCAATAGTGGCTGGATGTCGGACAGTCTTGGGTACGAGTGGTTATCGACCGTCTTCGAGCCATGCACGCGGCCGGAAGATATGGATCTTCGACGTCTGCTGATTGCACACGGCCACAGCAGCCATATCACGGCAAAGGTAATCGCGTTTTGCATGAACCACGCCACAGACTTGCTAATACTACCACCGCATTGCTCGCATTTCTTGCAACCCCTCAATGTTGGCGTGTTCGGCCCACTCAAGCGCGCTCTTGCCGGCGAGACCGGCAGAGTGTTACGGATCGACTCCGGACGTGCATCTCGGGCGGAGTGGAGGGAGATGTACATCCGGGCACGCGAGAGTGCCTGTTCAACAAGAAACATCCTTAGCGGCTGGCGTGCAACCGATCTCGAGCCGCTAAGTCTAATCGTCGTGCTTGACAAGCTCATCCAGTTCTCGAAACCGACGTCTTCCGAGCCTCGTACGCCAGGTCATCCATCGAGCCTTAACACTTCGCTTTTGTACAGCTCACCGCCGGACGGGACAGAACTCTGAGCAGCAAATGCAGTACTTGTTCATGAGATTCAGAAGGCAGATAACGTTGCGTCGCCGATAAAGCGCTACGTCAAGCGACTGACTCGGAATTCGGTGGTGACCCACAGTGAGAATGTGACACTGTGCAAAGAGCTAGAAGAGTCACAGGCGCTTTTAGAGTCCCATAAGGCTCGAACACATGGCAAAAGAGTGGCGCCGAAAGGGAAGTTCGTGTTCAGTAACCAAGAAGTCCTCTGTCTTGCGCAAGGAAGCCGAGGAGCACGCGGTCGCAAACTCAGGTTTCAGGCCACGACAACGAGCTCTTGTAATTGCTGATGCCGGGAATACTAGAGAGACTATGTCGCATAGTGAGGATAGCGAGGCAGAGTCAAACTGTAGAAGCTTTCCCCACTCAGTTCACAACACCACTCAATTCCCACGCGTCGCGCACCCGACGCGTGTCTTCTTCTTCCATTATCTCAACAACGCCACTATCGAAGCAATGTAAATTGAAATTTATCAATGTCTGATACACATTCTACAAGCAGGGCAAATATCTACATCAGGAGACGCCTTGAAGGCTTGATTACTCTGCCTGTTGATGAGACAGCTGGTTTCGCCGTCCTTAGCCTTGATTTGACGACTATGACATCTGGATCTTCCTGGGCCTCTTGAGACTCTTTAAGCTGCTTTGGCCGACCTCTAGACCTTTTGGAAGACGCTTGAATATCATCGTTTAGCTGGCTTGCAGCTTCTCTTGCGATCTTTTCAGCGGCCTTGGCAGCAATTCTCACTGCCGCCACTTTCTTTTTCTGTTCCGCCTTCTTCTGTCGTTCAAGTCTTCTTTCCGTCATCTGCTGAGCTCTTAGTGCCTTCTCCTCTTCCTTCTCTTGAGTTCTGAGCACCTTATCAAGCTGCTGTTGCTCCTTTTCAGCGTTCCTTGCCTGCTGCAGCTCCTGGAGCTGTCTTACCTTGTGTTGACTGAAGAAGGTGGCATTGCCTTCATCCTTAGCCCTGAACTCCTCCAGGGTTGGCGACGGCAATATGGACAACTTCATACAGAACGGCAGCAACCCCGTAGTCGCAGCGCAGAACGAGGCCGGCGTCTTATTCGATGCCGCCGAGTTTTAGGCCTTCCTATACGACTGGATCATTAGCGAACGCGTCTCGTTTAGGCAGCTCGAGAGCGAGAAGCTTCACGCAGTGCTAAAGTATCTTAACCCTCGCTGCGAGGTGTGCTTGCCAACGCGTACGACCGTAAGCGATACTATCGGTGCGCTGTACGATAAGGTGCTCGGCGAGGTTTCTGAGACACTGCGCAGCTCCATCACGAACGTGAACCTCTCGTTTGATCTCTGGACCTCCGGCAACAAGCTCGCTCTGCTCGGCCTCGTGGCCTCCTTCATCAACAGCGAGGGCAAGCCAACTATGACCTTACTCGCACTACCACGCCAGCAAGGCAAGCACAGCGGCCGCAATCTCGCAGCGACGATTGGCGATGTAATAGCTGAGTATGGCCTCGAGGGACGCCTTGGGTACTTCATCACAGACAACGCCTCTAGCAACGCCACTTGCTTGAACCATCTAGCTAGCGAGTTCGGCTTCACCGCTAAGGAGCGTTGGATCCGGTGCGCCGGCCACGTTCTCAACCTCGTCGCTCAAGCAGTGCTGATTGGAAACGACAGTGACGCCTTCGAGCACGAGATTCGCAACGTTAGCCTCGAGGAGATGCAGCTGCTCGAGGAGATGCAGCTGCTCCTCTGGCATAAGCGAGGGCCACTCGGTAAGCTGCACAACGTCGTTTACTGGATTGCTCGCTCACCGCAGCGTAATGAGCGCCTAATAGAGCTGCAGAAGATCCACGTTGCGCCATTCAAGGAAGCTCGCAAGAGAGAGACTTACGAGCTCGTCAAGGTCGTTGAGACGAGGTGGAACTCATTCGATGATGCTGCAGAGCGAGTGCTTTACCTCCGAGCAGCTATCGACGAGCTGATGATGGAGGAGGAGGTCGAATACAACGAGCACGTCATGCGGAGCCAGCGTTTAAAGCGACAGGTTCAGCGTAAGCCGCCAGCCATCTTGGCCGATCGCCTTACCGATGAGGACTGACATACTATCACTCTGTACCACCAGATCCTGCAGCCGCTAAAGGAGAAGACTAAGATCCTACAAGGCGAAGCTGGTGATCGCTTCGGTGCTATCTGGTAAGTAATACCTGCTTACGAGGATCTTCTCGCTCACTTTAAGGAGCTCCGCCAGCAGTATCTGGTTACTGAGTCGCCTCAACTACACTCTTTGCAGGCGCATGGAAGGTCTTGTAAGAAGAAGAGTCACTAAGAAGACTGTGTCGTGCTACTTGCAACAGTGAACAGGTCGGTAGGGTGTCGGCTCAGGAACGGATCACAATGCACATATAGGCTTGATGAGTATGACTCCAGTGCTTTGCAGCATCCGAAAACTGACCTATATATCATCAAGATTCGACTCCTGTGCTTGGAGACACTTCAAGCACTGAGCTCTCGATCGTTCCTCCACTTAACATAGTTTCTTCTGGTGTCTCAGTTTTTTTGGCTTTCCCTTCGTCCCGGATCCATTACCCATCTTAGGGCTTGCAGTCAACGCGGGCCCGGTCAACCCAACAACCGGGTTGTAGTTCTCATATGCACATGCCTCCGTGATTGCCACAGCTCCTGTGGCCGCGTGCAACGTTTCTTCTCCCCTTTGAACGGCCACCGAAGGGTAAGCGTTGTCGATGCCATTAGGAAAGGGTACCATGTTAAGTTTGGGTCCACACGTAGTCGCCTGGAATGTCCAATTCTGGTTGCTTCCCACATTCATCGAGATAGTAGAATTTTCGGAGACCAAGGCCCAAGCGAAGACAGCGTCTGCGGGATAAGCGGCGTTGCGGACGACGCCAATGTTGTTCGTGCCGCTGCTACAGGAGACTTCTTTCGGGTGAACGCGGTACCAGAAAACGACTCGATCTTCTGTTACCTATAGCACTTTCAGTGAGCAATCGGTATGGATAGTGTTAGGAAGGGCCGGGCCCTAACATCCACTTACCTTCGGGGCCAGCCCAGTCTTGTACCAGCTGATATAATATTGCGCCATAACGCGCCAGGCACTATGTGTCTGACCGTAGATGTAAGCACCCGTGACTCCAAATCCAACAGCCGCGGGACCCGCCACTGGCGGCAGGTCGCGAATATAGTGAGACTCCTCAAAGTCATTCCAGGTTATGATTTCGACAATGTCAGGTTGCACCGTGCTAATAGCCTGTTCCCATCGGTTAGGAAAGAGCACGTCTGAGTACTCAACCCAGGAGTTGTAATAGCCGTCGTTGAAATCTTTGAATTGCCAAGGCGAGACGCCTTTGTCAACATACGTCTCGGTTAGTAAATCGAGTGGATGACCGTGGGAGTAGGCGAGACGTACCCATGATGTATGGTCCTGTTCTCCCCGCATTCTCGAAGGCTGCCTGAAACTCGACGTCGACACCGGCAGTGAGGTTTGTGTCCGTGTCTGCCGGCCAAGCTTGCCCTAGATCTTTCGATTAGATACGTTCCTTTCTTGGCGGTGACGAAGGCGAGCAGCATACAATTGAGATATCCATCGATCGCCGTGTAATTTGCGAGCATGCCCGTAGCCACGCCGTTAGGGTCTGCACTCTGGGCCTTGAGAGAGTACGTAGTAAGCGCTGGGGAAAGCGAGATGGTCACTCCTTCTCCAGCAAGTACGCTCTTAAGTTCTGCGAAAAATTCGTTGCCGTAGCCTTCTCCACCGTACGAAGATACAAGAACATCGCCATTCCAGATATATGCAGCTGGGGATTTGGCGTACTTGGATATCATGGTTGCCATAAAGGTTGTGTTCCAGCCTATGGAACAAGCAGCAGGTGTGTAGCTCATATCGAACGAGTAGATCAATTTGAACTCGTTGGTTGCGGCCACAGCGAATGCATCTTCAATCCGCGCGACATACCAGTCCTGACTGTTTGGTGCGAGCGAACAGTCCGGCGGGCCCCAGTTGAGGGCTAGATAGTTGTCAGCATTACGTATTGCGTTTCAAAAGGGAGAAGGTAGAATGCCAGCAACACACATGCACACACTCGAGCTCACGTACCAAAGCCGTCAATCCCTATTTCCGACGCAGCGACAAAATCGGCTTTCCACTCGGTCTGCGTATAATTGTACGTATTTGCCACCTTAGAAGTAAGTATGCATCAGCTATAGACCCGAGGGAAAACTCGATTGGCAGATACACACCATGAAATGAGCAAAAACGTCGGCGGCGGTGGCAAGACCGCAGAGCAAGATCACTAGGAACAGGGAAGAAGCTGCCATGACAAGTGCTTAACTGTTGGGGGATTCAAAATGTTTTGTCTAAGGAGTTGAAGTGGTGGGCCTCGGAGCTACTTTAAGTATGAGAATTGCAGCATCCCTTCCTTTCCCCTCTACTTCAACACTTATCTGGACCAGTGGTCGGCAGTCATCCTTGGTCGTGCAACTATGTAAGTGGAGATCCGTTGGACTCGGACCTTCTAACAAAGCTGGCGGTGAGCCTTTTTTGCTTCCTGACGATTAATAGCAGGGTATCGTTTGTGTTCTTTTTCGTTTAAGTGGAGGGAGCCCCGGAGGACTTCCGGGTCCGTGCACCCGTTGTGAGGTACTACTTGTCTCTGGCGGGGTCTATGATGTTGCTGGTCTGGTTGTGTATCTAGCCGTTCCAGCCCAGTGACAGATTGAGGGATTAATACATCATGTCTGATGCGGGGTGCGGAACGCAACTAATGCGAGCCTAGTTGAGCGTGTTCCAGCTGGCGGGAGTGGCGGGGGCCGGAGAAAGCGGAAGAGGCCCACACCCACCCTCGGTGTTACTTCCTGTTACACCACAGCACCACAGTTACATTGCGCAGACAAGTGCGAGACTTCCGCCGAAGAAAGTGCTATGGAGGGCGGGAACGCGACAGCGGGGAGAAGCTCTCCTACAAGAAAAGGCGCGTAGATGTTGATGGAGGACTCTCTTCAACCGCGGAGCCGAGGTCGTAGTGCAACCGCGTTCTACACTGCGCTCACGTCCGAGGAGGCAGTGACCACATCCTTCGTAACCAGCTAAGCCCTGCACGACTCGAACGTTTCTTGTTCGCTCTAGCACATCGCAAGTGGACATAGTCACTCCACCGCTTGCAATAATGGCGCCAGGTTTCCCTTGCCAAGACGGTTCAAGTACGACGGCGGGCGAGGCGGGGAGCTGGCCATGCACCTGCATTCATGCGGGATTGAGCTTTCGAACGTCGATCTGCTTCCCTTTCCTCCTTCGTGCCCGCACAGCTATTTGCATTAACCCGTGGGGACCTAAGTCTTGTGAACGGAATCTCCCAGCCATGCAGCATGATGGTCACCAGCGCTGACGGTGTTTGCGTCCAAAGTACCCACCCAGGCCGGGCGCTTGCGCCTGGCGATGGCACAGTGATCATTGTGGAAGGTAGTATCAGATCCCTCCCTTCCCACTTCGCCGTACTTCAGATTGTGTCCTGCTCCCATCTCGTCTGTTCCCCTCTCTACACCAAGTACACGATGGCTGTCATCTCGCGCCTGCTAGGCACTTGCCTCGCCTTCTCCAGCATCGCTCTCGCAAGTCCAGTGCCAGCTCTGCTCACAGCACGTCAGAGCAATGCTACTCTCTCGGCTTGCCCAGGCTATAAAGCCAGCAACGTCAAGACAAGCTCCACTGGCATGACCGCGGACCTGAGTCTGGCGGGCGCAGCATGTAACGCCTACGGCACGGATCTAACTGACCTGATCCTGACCGTCGAGTACCAGACTGGTGCGTTAAGGAATGAACCCACCGGACGGCATACACGAGCAGGCTGACAAGAACGTGTAGACCAGCGCCTGCACGTCCTCATTCAAGACGCTGGCAACCAAGTGTACCAGGTCCCATCCTCCGTCTTCACGCGCCCCGGCACTGAGAGCAATTGCTCCTCGAGCAACTCTGAGCTCGAATTCAAATACGTTAAGAACCCATTCAGCTTCTCCGTCACTCGCCGTAGCAATGGTGATGTACTGTTTGACACATCTGCTGCGAGCCTCATCTTCGAGAGCCAGTATTTGCGCCTGCGGACCAAGCTCCCGGGGAGCCCGAGCTTATACGGTTTGGGAGAGCACACTGATCCTTTGTGAGTATATCCATATTGGCTGAGCAGCCGCAAGCTTGAGATGGACCGGCTAATACCACTCGTAGCATGCTCAACACCACGAACTACACCCGCACCATCTGGAACCGCGACGCTTACACTGTCCCATCCGGCACAAACTTGTACGGTGATCATCCTGTATACTTCGATCACAGAGGTGCCAATGGCACGCACGGCGTCTTTTTGCTAAATTCAAACGGCATGAACATCATCATTGACAACACCGGCGGCCAATATCTTGAGTATAACATCATTGGTGGCGTATTCGACTTCTACTTCATGGCCGGTCCATCCCCCGCTGAAGTCGCATCGCAATACTCCAAAGTCGTTGGCAAGAGCGCAATGATGCCATATTGGGGTTTCGGCTTCCACCAGTGCCGCTATGGCATGCAGGATGTATATGAGGTGGCTGAGGTTGTCGCCAATTACTCGATTGCCAACATCCCGCTCGAGACGATGTGGACAGACATTGACTACATGTATCTTCGCCAAGTTTTCACGCTTGATTCAGACCGATTCCCGCTGCACCTGATGCAAGAGCTGGTATCCTACCTACACACTCACGAGCAACACTATATCGTCATGGTGGACCCTGCAGTAGCTTACCAAAATTACCCAGCTTTCAACAATGGAGTCAACGATGATGCGTTCATCAAGTACGCGAACGGTTCAGTGTACAAGGGGGTGGTCTGGCCTGGTGTCACCGCTTTCCCTGACTGGTTCGCCCCCGGTACGCAAGGCTATTGGAACGGCGAGTTTGACTCTTTCTTCGATCCAGCTACGGGTGTCGACATCGATGCACTGTGGATCGACATGAACGAAGCCTCCAACTTCTGCGTCTACCCTTGCACCGACCCCGAGGCCCAGGCAGCGGCAATGGGCGACCCTCCAAAGCCTCCGCCGGTAAGACTCGGCAGCCCGAGGCCGATTCCTGGCTTTCCAGCGGACTTCCAACCGCAATGCAAGACGGAGGTGACCTTCAACGTCAACGCCAGCACGTTCTACGGCGAGAACATCCTTCTTCTCGGCAGCGCTGTAACACTTGGCTCCAACGATATCAGCAACTCTGTGCCGCTGAGCGCGAGCAACTATCCCATTTGGAGAATCACGGTTGACATGCCAGCGAGCGGCACCTTCACGTATCAGTACGTCCGGGCTGAGCCAGATGGTAGCTATGTCTATGAACAGAAAAACAGGACCATCACGACTGGACCTTGCAACAGCACCAACAGCACGCAAGACACCATCACGACGACCTCGCCTCCCACCTCGTCAAAAATGATTAAGCGCGACAGCCTCGTCGCTTACGGTTCCCCTCTTGACACGCGCCAGTCGCCGAGTGAGCCGACGGGATTGCCCGATCGCGACCTTATCAACCCAGAGTACATGATTACCAATGCGGCTGGCAGCCTTAGCAACAAGACGCTCGATACCGATCTTGTTCACTACGGCGGCTGGAAAGAGTACGACACGCACAATCTTTTTGGCGCCATGATGTCCGAGACTTCTCGCCTTGCAATGTTGAGCCGCCGCCCGATGGTCCGTCCGCTCGTCATCACGCGTTCGACCTTCGCCGGTTCCGGTCGCCAGGTCGGCCATTGGCTTGGCGACAACGTCGCAGACTGGGCCCACTACCTGATCTCGATCGCCGGGATGCTTGAATTCGGGGCGCTCTTCCAGGTCCCCATGGTCGGCTCCGATGTCTGCGGCTACGCTGGCGTCACCAATGAGCTTCTCTGTGCTCGCTGGGCGACTCTAGGAGCCTTCAGCCCCTTCTATCGCAACCACGAGGCCTCTGGCGTGCCGCCGCATGAGTTCTACCGCTACCCCATCGTGGCCGAGGCCGCTCGCAATGCCATCGCTACGCGGTACCAGTTGCTCGACTACTTCTACACGGCATTCTACGATCAGAACCAGACGGGCGTGCCCTCCGTCCAGCCCATGTTCTTCGTGTACCCCGAAGACGCGAACGCGAACGCGGTGCAATACCAGTATTTCTATGGCCCGGCCATCATGGTCGCGCCCGTCACGGTGGAGAACAGCACGACGACCGAGATCTACATGCCGGATGATGTCTTCTATGACTACTACACTCACGAAACCGTCCGCGGCACCGGCAGCATGGTCACGCTGACCGACGTCGCATACACGACCATCCCACTGTACTACAAGGGGGGCAGCATCGTCGCTCGCCGCGTGAACTCGGCCAACACGACCACCGATCTGCGGAAGCAAGACTTCAGCATCGTCGTTGCTCCCGGCCTGGACGGCACGGCGTCTGGCAACCTGTACCTTGATGATGGCGACAGCCTCGATCAGCCGGCGACCACCTACATCGACTTCTCGTACGACAGCAGCGGGAAGTTTGTGATGACTGGCGACTTCGGGTATAGTGCTGGCGTGTCGATCACGAGCGTCACGGTCTTGGGTGGCTCGAGTAATGGTACCAGTCCGAGCGGGTACGGCAAGACGAAGAGGGCGGAGACGATGGTCCAGACGAGCATTCCATTGACCAGACCGACCATTGTGATGGTTTCGTAAGAACCTGTGATGGGCTGACGAAGGCTGCGATCATATATTATGTGGAGGGTGCGCTACTCATCTCTGCTGGGTCTGCCTTGCGAATTTGCTTGAAAGTGGGTTCTGCCCCGAGCACATGAATGAGGTTCATGGGGGCACTGGGACCAGTAGTCGAGTGTTGTCACCTAGTCAAATGCTGTGCAATGACCCATCCCGGCTGTACGTGAAGCTTGTCACACTACTACTGCATGCTGTACGCATGTCAAGAAAGGTAATACGACATGTTGGAGGGAAAGTCCCTGCAGGAGCTCGAGTATATAGACGATGGTGTCTCCTGGTGATGACGCTGATGACATAGCTCAGGCAACGACCGCAACGATCCCGCGACCGTGGTTGATTAAAGCCGATACTATCTGCCTAGAAGTGCACAGATGGATCTGCCACCTGGAGCTCCCACTCGCACGGACACAAGTGAGCCGGGCGTCTCGTTGGTCTCGGCCGAGAGACACCAACTTACGATTGATAACATTCCCATAGAGCACACAGAGATCTTTCCGGAATGCTGCGGGACAACCTGGAGACAGCAGGCCACACGACGCTATCACGAGTCACCCCATGATCTCTTTGGTATTTTCCTCGCTTCTCTTCCCTCGGCTCGTACTCTCCTTCCTGCAATTCATTGTACCGCCGGCGTTTGCGACGCGATTTGCCCCTACGTGGTCACCTCGGAAACGCCGGAAATGCCAGAGTCTTGACATTGCTTGATAGACCTATGACTTATATACATCCCAGAATCTCACCGTGTGCTTCGTGGAATCATACTCTTCATTGTGTAGCAACGACTACGACGACGTCCGGAAAAGCGCAATAGTGTCAACAAATCCGTCGAGATTGTCGCCATAGTAAGCGACGTTCTGCCCGTCGACCTGCAAATCCGTCAGCATTCGTCCCATCTTCTTGTGAACTGCTGTACTGCTTACCTCGATCATTTCATGGGTCCCCACTGTGTTTAGATTGTACACGGTGATAGCGTTGCTGCTGATGACTTCAAAGTTGCGGTACTGGCACACTTCTCCATTGCCTTGATTGCTGCAGGTCGTGCTATAGTTATCAGAGAAGCTGTATAGTCCAGCGCCGTAGATGAGGATGTTGTTGGAGTGGACGATGCGCAGGCCCCAGCCGTCTGCGTCGGGGATGGTGAGATTGCCATCGGTGGCAGTCAGCGATGGGAACCGTGGGTCGTTGAGGCTGGCGACGAAGGGAAAGGGTACAGGCGCGGAGGGGTTGGGTTGGTAGTATGCCGTTTCGGTCTGCAAAGTCAGCGATGTCTTGCAAAGTTGGAGGACTTTGAAAGTGACATACCTGGATTTGCCCAGCGAACACGTTTCTCGTGTGTGCGAATTGATACTCGTACAGCGTGTGGTGCTCCACGGCGGTACCGATAAGCCAGAAGGTCCCACTCTGGCTCTCATCCAACAAGCCCCGGCCAGGATAGACTGTTATCTGCGTCGAAGATGGATCTAAGACGGAAAGTTAGCATCCGTCTTCGTCGCATACAAGGGTTATGCCCTTCTGTTTACTCACCCTCCACGTCGTGATCCGGAACCCAAAGCCAAACATTCTCCGCATATAGACCAGAATAAAATTTGGTCAGGTGCATGGTCATGAAAGCCGCTTATTAGTCCAAAATGTGCAACGTTAAGCGCGCCCTAAGAAGCCTTGTACAGCTTCGATGGTGGAACATTGGGGTCATGGGATAACTTGAAGTCAGTAGGCTGAACCATCACTACGGATCAAGATAGGCCTATTCAGTAGCACGCCTGGTTCCAATTAGGAGCAGACATTTGCTGTTGCTAAGTTCGCTCTGAAGCAGGTGTCTGTCGCGCGGCCGATATTCTCGAGACTAGCTGAGTTGCTACAGTCGTGGATGGCTTGACTGGTATTTCCAGAGTTTCTCTTGGATCGAAATGCTAACCGTTCGTGAGGCGACTAGCAAGTATCGCAATCACGCAGCTTCCATCCGTGAGCAGGATTTGCCAGTCGCTGTATGCCTGTGGTTTCCGCCGCATATCCGACCATCTTACTGGTCTCAATATCGCTCCGGGATTCTCCATGCAGTGTTCGGCTTTGGCATCGCCGGGGTTATATCGATTGCTGAGCTTCCAAAACTTGACCAAAGCACTCTACTCCTCTTCGCTTCCACAGCTTGGCATCACGTCTGAAGATTGCGGATATGTCTGGATATTGCGTATCGGCGGAGAACAAGCCTCAGCTGCATGTATGCAGGTGTGGTCGACCCCGGGGAGGAGCCGTCCAATAGTCTAGCTTTAGGGTCACCAAGGTGGCTAAGCCAAAGAGGGTCTGGGGAAGCATCTTTTGCTGTGTGAAAAAGTCGAAAGGCTCAAGTATCAGTGTGCTGCGTGAGAAGGAGTTTGGTGATGTTTGGAAGGCAGTTGTAATCAGGTAAAAATTTAAAATGCGTCGATTCCAAGCCGAGAGTCATCATTTTATTTACGTCGTCTGGCGTAAGCCCTCACCGCGGACAGACACGGCTGGGAGATTCGATAGCGTTTGACCCATTGGTTCTTTGGAGGCGTCATACACAACTGTGTTCCATCACGTGCAGCCCTGTGCCCCTGGATAGCCAAAGCGGGCATTGCTTCTGTCCATTTGATCAAGCCGCTCGCCTGGTCCACTGACAAATCCGTTCATGGCAGACTGGTTCACAACTCTTTTCCGCGCATACCATTCGCCGTCACCACACATCGCACCCAATGGGAACCTTCCTTACACGTGTAAATGTGCCGTCTTTATTCATGTCAGTGGGGTCGATGATGCTGTTCAGTGTGGCAAGATCCAAGAAATGCACCGCACTGCTACCAAAGTTTACGGCTGTCGTGGAGCCATCCCCGTGACAACAACTGGTGCTGCGGCAAAGGCATCGACGATTACGTCAGTCGCGCTGTCTGCAGCCGCGCTCGAGATATTGATTGGACCCGTAGAACTTTGGAACATGGAGTCGAAGAACCAGCGCCCGAGAACTGGCCCCGGCCTGACCAATTCGCGTACTTTGCTCTTGCAATTGCCGCATGGTCACTGCCTCCGCAGATGCGAGCTTTCCCACCTCTATGGCTTGAAGCTCGGTCATGCCCGTCGCTGTCTAGCTCCGTGTGGTAATGATGATCATCTCGACATCTGGTGCATCAGGCAGATAGCGCTGCAAATCGACGAAGTAGGGGTCGCTCTCGTCGTCGAGGCTGTCAGCGTTGTCATAAACCAGCGAACATCTGCCTTGCCGATCTTCGAACCACAGATGCGCAATTTTGCGCAACTTGCTGCTCCAAGACCAACTCCGTCGAAATCTCGTGTAGCTCTCGACCTTATCTGCCTGCTTGAGAGGAAGCAAACGGATTCGGTACGACTCAACTTATTGCAAAATATGTAGTCGCAGCTCTGCGGTCTGGAGGTTGGCGGGTCTGGACATAGTTGTTTACTCTCCGCATACGCGGTATAACGAAGTGTTGCATGAGAGTAGTAATTGAATATTGGAATTCACAGCGCACAGGGCAAGTTGTGCTGGCCCTAGTCAAGCTAGCGCCAGCACAACTTGCCCTGTGCGTTTGATGCATTCGCGAGCTCAGGGGCTCCAGGGTGGCAGTCCTTCACATCTCAATGTTGTAAGGAGTCTAATAGAATTAAGTATACATTTTTTTTTAAAGAGCACCTTCCCAGCGGCTATACGTAGCTATTAATTAGCAAACGTATTTTGTTTCCAAAGACCTAGAGCTAGTATAGCTAATAATGTACGTACTTTAAATTGCAATATATTTACTAGCAAGTATATTGCGTATAACGCCGCTTAGCGTAGCTTGCTGTAGTAGAGACTACCTATATTCTAGTAGTTCAAGACGCTGGAAACCTTATATACATTTGCGCAAAAGCAAAATTTCGTACTTATCCTAGCTTCCCGGTCGAATCAACCAACTAGATTATTGTATATATAGGAACTCCGTTCAACTCGATCGCCGTAAGAATTCTGTGTCGAGCTCGGACTGCGCATCACGTTGAGTTTATCGCTGTGATCAAGGTGTCGTTCTGGAACTCGACCACATCTGCGTCGTACGAATGATCCACGGTGACGACGATGTATCCATAGCTTGGAACTGACAGGGCTAAACTGGGGTACCACAGCCGCGACAAGCCTAAGGTGCAGCTCACATCTGCATGTGGAGCGAACTCGATCATTGATGCGAGATGATGGCCAGGTCATCGCCACAACCTACGTTCCGTTCAGCCGCGACTCTTAACTACTTTCCAAACGTTTTCATGACGGGTTGACTGCTGGTGTGACTAGAGCTTTTTCTCTTGGTCGAATACCTACTCATATCGCACTTCTAACCCAGTGTTACACGCACTCTAGCCCGTCCCTACAAGCTTCCCACGAAACTATCTACATATACCTCGTCTCTGGCCCAAGACGTCGCCAAGTCTGGTTTCAAGTAGGCGGCAGGCACGCCGCAAGAAACCGCTTCCGCGTACGAGGCCTAATCCCTTCCAGCACTGCCTGGACGAACAACGTATGCTGGGTCAGCAGCCATAGAGAACAGCCCGCATGGCGTCTTTCGCGCATCCCCGGTCGTCGGACTCATCGCAGCGTCGCGCAAGAGCTGCAACCGCCGTCCAGGCTTGTCAAACTTGCCGTAATCGGTAAGCGGCGGCGGAACAATCTCCGATCAGTACGTGATCTGAACAGAGCGAGCAGGCGACTGACAATCATGTAGGAAGAGCAAATGCGACGAGCAACGGCCAAAATGTAAGTGTCCCGTGCCTGCCGCATGCGGACATGATTGCTGACCCTAGTGTAGGTGGGCTGTGTCAGCGTCTCAATGTGGATTGCGAGTATCGAGAGCCTTTGCCAACGAAGTAAGTGTTGTCCAGGACTAAGATCGTGGTGAGGAGGCATCAACAACCCGACCACGATGAGCTCCGGCACACATTGGTCCTACCCGACTTCTCGACAGCAGCTTGCTAGACTAGATGTTGCAAGCGGCTAGAGCAGTGACCATGACAAGTGTGCTGACTGGCCCAATAGGAAAGACAAAACCATGGTCCACATTCTAGATACCTTGACCCGGCTGGAGAACAAATTCGACAATATGGCCATAACACAAGGTAGCAGTCCGGACATGAACTCACCTGGCGCCCGTGCTTCGGTGAGTGGTACGTCGTCGGTGTCGCTCGTGAAGGCCTCACACAGCGAGACTGGACAGCGGCATACAGAAGGGTCGGCTGCCAGCGCCAATGTGCAAAAGTCTTATCAGCACCTTACGGTACCCCACAAGATCATGCTGTGGCCCGGAATATACATACATCTACTCAATTCTGGTATCTCGGCTGCATCTGACTTGCAGTATGTGCTCCAAGAAGGAACGCCATGGTTCATCAAACGAGAGATGAGCAAGCATCCTGATCCACTACCATCGGACGTTGGATTGCCGTGCTTCACGATGGCCACTGGCAATACAGAGCAAGGCAGAGCTTCAAATGTTGTATTTCCGACTCTCGGTGCTCAGCAAATGCAAGAGCTTTCGGACGCCTACTTCAACACATTCAATGTTCTCTATCCAGTCCTCAATCGCGAGGCATTTATGAACGGCACCGTGGCGAGACTTTTGCGAGACGGCTACGGTGATGGCGATTCCGGCAGCGTTCTGGCTCTTCTAGTCTTCGCGCTGGGTGCTGTGGCCGTCGGTGGCGTGTTCGAGAGACCTGTCAGCGTTGTCAACGGTCAACCAAGTGGCTTCCGTGGCGGCACTATTGATCACCCACCGGGACTCGCTCTGTTTAACGAAGCCAGAAGAAGACTTGGCTTCATCTGGACGCAATGCACCTTGGAGAATGTCCAGCTCAATCTACTACAAGCTACCTATTACGAAGCGACATCGCGGCATCTAGACTTCTGGCGCTGCACAGTCGCCGCTTCGATGGCGTGCCAAGTCTTGATTCGTTGCGAGCAAATCGACTGGTCATCTGCTACAGGCGACCTTGTCAAACGTGCATATTGGACTTGCGTCCTCAGCGAAGATCTATACCACCTAGATCTCGACTTCCCGCAAACCGGCATACACACCATGGAGGACGAAGTACCCCTGCCATACTTCCACGAAGCACAAGAGCAACACCAAGGCAGTAGTGTTGCAGGAGGTTCCGCCCAGGCCAACCAAGAGCGCAGTCATTTCCAGTACCACTTCCTCGCCATGATTGCGCTACGCCGCCTTATCGCACGCATTCACAACGTGATACATGAATGTGAGCGTGCCATGCAGGCCGAGCCATTATGGCGAGGCTCCCGACGGACAAGTGGGACACAAGCTCACAAGACATTTGCAGCATCCTCGGCCCAGGCGGAGAACTTTGACGACTATGGCGGTCCTCCTGTGGCCGTTATCAGGGAAATGATGAGGCAACTAGACAGTTGGAGAGCCTTACTTCCGCGACCTTTGCAGTGGAGTGACAGCGATAAGTTTGAGTTCCCAGCTACGGACCCCATGACCAGGCGGCCGAACGAACCACTTTTTAGTCCGGATCAGGGTCCAATACCGATTGGACACAAGTATAATCTGGATGTTGTAACGGCGCAACTTCGGACAAGATTCTACTACGCTCGGTTTATGATGTATCGACCGTTCGTGTACAAAGCGCTGCATTTTCCGGAGCTAATGATAGCGGAGGATGGTAGTTGCTGCGGTCTCGCTCTCAAGAGCGCGTGTATGTGGCCGCTCGCCATGGCACCGCCGAAGAATAAGAAGAGGCTAGTCCCGCATATGTTTGCGTGGACGCAGAACTTTATGGGCATTCTGCTCGTGCTTAACATGTGCTCGGTAAACGATTGTTTACGACAGATTGTTGACGAGGGTACTGTGGTTAGTAGGCGGGAGATTGAAAGCACCATCGGTCTCTTGCTAGAGTGGATGAGGGATGTGAAGCAGGTAGATGGGATTGCAGAATGGAGTTGGGGAATACTGGAGCCGTTGTACGGCCTCCGACCAGAACGATGAGCTGGCAGACTGTGAAAGAGCTCAATAGGGCAAGGCGCTGGATCTTTTTTCGCGCAAGTGGGCGGTAAAGGCCGACGATCACGGCGCTGAAGCACTCTCGATTACGCCTGAGGAAGTCAGTCAGTCAGTGATACTGCGAGAACCAGACGGATAGGCGCAGGAGCGCTCGACCTGGTCATGATCATCTCGTGGCCAGAGTGATGATTAGTGAAAAAGCGCCGTCGGGTCGTGTGACCAGCGTGGATAGATCAAAAGTAGTAGACAGAATGAAACTAACTATCAAACATTGCCGCCATCATAATATCGGAGAAGTCGCAAGGCTGAAGGCGACACAGGATAACGTTGTTCTCGAAGCAGAACTCTAGAACTTCGAGGGTTTCGTGCGTGCCGAAGCCCATCGCACACTAATGCTCGCGGCTTCTGCCCCGCACGGTCGCTCGTCTGAGGGTCAAACACGACCTTCAACTACTCAAGGCTTAGAAGTGAGTCTGCAAAACCGCTGTCAGAGAAGCCATAGTGCCATCCTGGCGTGGGCCACGTGCTCCAATTCGCCCGATCGGTAGAGGCTGGCCAGATTATCATAGGATGCAGGCACCTACCATCACTACTCACGCATTCAATAGCCGTGATTGTAGTGCGCTTCACACGCGCGCCCCTGCAGTCTCGTTGATTGTCTTTACTGACCAGAACCGTGACCGAGCCGAGCTGGGAAAGCATGATGCCCGTTTCGTCCATGTTATATACGTTCTCTTGCAAGACGTTTGGACCCTGCAGAACCTGTCCAATAACATCGAACCAGTACGCCACCTTTTCACGAATATCGTACCGATTCCAGTCCAATGCTTTGGCTGTACTAGCACCGTGGCCAATTCTTGCCCGGCGGATTCGCTGGTCGTTCGGAAGAGGTTCGCCGACGAGCAAGGCTGAATGCTATGGAGCTTACATATTTAATCCGCATCGGGTGACCCAAGGTGTCTTGATGCACGATGAATTTTACGAGTGCTTTCTTTTCCCAAGGTGTCCAATACCGCTGGCTTTGCGCCTTCTCTTTTAGCGAACGGCGGCCACGTGCACGGTGTTGAAGCGTGGTGCGAGGAACGTTGCTGCGACGAGAGCGCTCACGGAAAGACGTGATTGCGCAAGCGCAAGCGTCTTCGGCTAACACCTGGCTAGCCTTGTCCATGGCATAATACTATCTCAGCATGGGTCCGAGGAATGGAAGGATGGGAGAATCGAGCGAAAGCTGGGGACGCTGCACGTATCCAAATTTCGGTCTAAGAATAGCATGTCTGTGGTGGCGCACCACGTGGCCATAGAAGCAACTAGAATGGCGCAGACATGTGTGCCACAGTCCTAAGGGCTTAGTGTAGACCACCGTAAGGCGCTTCGCATAGTCTTAGGTCAGCACGATTACTCCTTCTAAAATCTCACTTGCATCGAGACTGTCTTGCTGCAAACGGAGAAACTCTCGGCATGCGAGTACACGGCCGCAGACAACACCACAAAAAGACGACTTATTCATCAACTGTTGTACTATCTTATGTGACCTCCGAAATGCATGTGCAGTTTTATAGGCGCTTTGTAGCAGGGGTCGATCGTTGTACCATTAATCGGCTGTATCAGCTCAATAATCGACAGCACAACCAGTTGGCTGTATTTCGTGTAACGCTCTACATAGGACGGAGAGTAACAAGCATGGAGCCTTGGGATTTTATCCAATTCTGTGCCGACCTATCGGGTGGCATTCGCTGCTTCGATATCTATCATGTGGCTCGCGACATAGGGTGGCTCGACACACCGGGGGAGATCTTAGATCATGCTGTGACCTGTGATCGTATTTCGTCCTTCCTTGCATTGCAGGAAAAGCTGATTGACTTAGCATTTCAGACAGGCATGTTGGTCGCGGGACGTCAGGCCGCCCAGGACGAGTAGATTAGGCGCACCCCACAAGTATGATCGAGACCTTAGGTGGACACCAGGCGCGGTGCTTTGAGGCTATTTCCGTGCATTGCACTATTTGTGGACCATACATGATGTGCTAAGAAAAGATTCTCAGCGGCTGGTTTGCCGTTCATGCGAATGACAGCATCTCAGGGCCCGATACCTCACTATCGAGGGGGCCTGCTGTGCAAAGCAGCGAATGCACTAAACACACCCATCGCTTTGCTTGTCTTCTCATTTGCGTTGCATGACACTGTGCTGTATGTGGCGATCGAAGTCAGCATCATGCTGAGTCTGTCACGTGTCGAATCAGCGGCCCACAATTTAAGCTCTGCGACGCTACAGTGACGATATTTTTGGACTCAAGGACTAATCTATTAAAAAGTTACGCAGTGGACGGTCTGCAAAGACGACCGTGCACGAAAGTGGCAGAAGTCACAACAGCAATGTGTCATTCCCACAATGTAGAGCGCTGTACTGTACAATGCTTTTATTGTAGTACAGACTTGTTAGAGCCATACCAGGCAGTCAAGATGATGGAAGGTTACCACGTCATTCATGAATGCATCGATAGACTTGCACAACAACTGGCTCGCCTGCCAGGAAATCTGCGTGTCGAAATGGTGAATATCGTGGACCGACTGAAGCAGCTACAGATCGTCATGCATGGCGAGATGACGTTGGCGGGCGAGCAATCTCTAAATCATGCGACGCAAGCTGATGATCAAAGACCTACGTCTGTCAATGTGGCGCCACCCGCCTTCCCTGTTTCTCGGTCCCCACCATGCGAGACCGCCGGGCCGCAAGCGACTCGGACTAAACCGTCTCATACCTGCACAGTACGTCTCGAGAGTCGCGCGGGACCATCGCTGGGGCATATCTCTGCGCCAATCACCCGGAGCTCATTGGCGAGCCATAACGAGACGATTGGCTCAGACAGTCGCCTTCAGCTCATCACAGACGGTAGGATTGGACCACAACGGCGAAGACCCTGTATACATCCGTGTTTACCAGAACATGAGAAGAATCGATCTAGAAAACAGAGAGCCTCTTTTCGCAGAGACAAGAAGCGGAAATACCAGCAATCTGTCGATGAGTTCGACGTGACCAAGTTCCTTGCTGATGTAGCAGATGCATTTGGCGCAGACAGCGACTCTGAGATTCTGCAGGAGACTCTCGAACATTTGACGGCCGATCCAATCAGCAGTGAAGCTGCATGGCTCCCATCCTCATGGATACTGGATAGACTGCTTACGAAGAACCCTGCTGACTCCATGAAACTCATAGAAGCGCTGCCGGGCCTGGTCAGAGAAATCAATGACCACATCATCTCTCAGCGGTTGTCGCGAGTATGGAAGAGGATGATGTTGGCTCAGTTTTATTCAACCTACAAATTGGCACAAAATGACCCTTCGATGTTCTTACAGTGGACGGAGGAGATAGCGAGGGAGAAGTCTATCGATCTGACTCGGACGTCTGGCCGGCGGGAGACGCAGGTGAAGAGTCGTTTCGTCGATATCATCTTTTGGCAGTCGAGGAAAACTCGCGTGCAGGCCGCAAACAAAGTCAACGATTGGCAGCGTAGCGGACGGCCGTGGGCTGAACTCATTCAGCGCTTTGGTTGCGGCAGCCTGTTGCTCGTTCCTGACCAGTTGACAGACGAAAGGTGATCACATAGGCTGATGCAACCTATACTAATTTCCACACGCTGATACCTACCGCGCCTAGTGTACGCTACCTGTCGCACGAGAAGTTTTCTCTCCTCCTGGATGCCATCCAGGAAAGAAGCGACTTGTTCGCCCACGCTTTGACGAAAGCGAACGACAAGATGACGGCTATGGCATCCAACTTTCAGATTGGTCGAGGTTCTTCTGAGACCGATTCAGGAAGGCGGATCTCTAAACCCGCGTCAGCAGCCTTACCTGACCCAACGGACCCTTCTCTTGGGGAATATCTCCGCGACACCTTGAATCCCCAGATACTAACTGTGCATCAGCTCAACAGCTCGTCTGCTGTGACGAACAACGAACATGTCACAACGGATCACAACTTATGCGGCCATCCTCCGCCCAGAGGTACTGCCGCTCGAGACCTCAGTATCTCAACACCACATGCAGAAGAGATGGGCACCTTGGACGCGGCACGGAGCACTGGTCCTGACGACGGATGTCGACAGACCGAACGCATCCCGAGCTCCGAAGACTTCTCAACGGACGTCCTTGATCAGTTATTTCAGATCCTCAACGACAGACCCCAAGTAGATGTGGAGGACTGGCGCCTGGAGTTTCACGTCTGGCCGAGCATCAGACTCGTTGACACCACGCTCGATGACGATGCTGCCACCTGGTCGCCACAACACTGTTCGACCTTCTTAAATAATGCTCGCTATCAAGTGTTGCCTTATTTCGCAAGCTACCATTGGCAGCTAGCCGTCTTCGACCAGATTAATCACGTTATCGCTCGTTATGACAGTGCCTGGCAAGATGGCTATGACCGCTTCACGTTCTCCGTGCTGCAAAACTGGCTTCGCTCGAGTGGAGGAAATCCATTCGACCGTCCGTACGAGTACAATATGGTTAAGGTTAGTCGGTTCCGCCATCCGTGTCCACTGACCTGACCGTATGTCGTAGAGCACCCCCGTACCTGACAATGCTCACAACACCGGGATCGTGGTCTGGTGGGTGGCCAAGCAACTGATGTGCGGGAAAGACCTAAGTGAGCCTCCAGCAGATTGGGAGCATGAGAGATCATCAACTATGCAATCACTTCGTCAGGACGACGACTTCGACCTCTTTATAGACTATTGATTCTTTCCATACGTTCTCAGAATAACAAGGACAATCAAGAGACCCGCTGCCGTAAATCAGAGACTCATCCATATGCATCTACCTTGCCATCATTTAGAATCGAATCCTCGTAAAAGATGCGGATGCTACCCACTCCATTGTGGACGTCTGGCGAAGCCCTGGTCGGACATCAACTCCAGCCAGCAGTGCCGTGAGCGTGTGCTCCACTACTCTCCTGGCTGGCAGGCGTCCAATACCTGTGCACACGGACTGGTCGATATTGGGTGATCCCGATTGGCGCAATTGACGATTTCCATGTGATGTCGATTGACGGACGATGTCAGAAACATATAAAGCAGTGATAGTGACTGAAAATTTTCATTCACTCCTTCCTCCGTCCTATTTGACCTGACATCCAGAGATGCTAGCAGAAAGCGAGATCAACACGTCCCCGGAGCTTGAAGACAGTCTCAAGGCCTCGTCGGACCAGGCAGCATCCCTTCGACACCCTTTCACTGTACCCACGCATCTTACCATGCAGTACGGAGTTTGTATCAGCCGGAGAGACGTCTGGGATATCTACTCTGCAATCGCCTACACCCACAATCAAGGCACAGAGTGGTTTGGCCGCACCATCACAAGTGGGCGAAGGCAGACTGGTCTCGGGACTGCACATCCTCTGTACACTATCAAACAAGAAGAGATCAATAACAACGCCGCCCTTCAGCCGCTCCCGAAGCCACTGCATCCGAATGTGACGGTGTTGCATCATGTGTTCTGCAATAACGCGACAATTTCTTTCGTGTACGAGGAAATGGACATGTCCCTGTCGCAGGTTTTGTCGCATCCTCTCGAGCCTTCGATCTCGTATCCAGCACAGAGTCACCGATTGATTGGGGCGATTTTCAAGCAGGTATGTGCTTCCTATCAGTCCAGATCGAAGCTGATATCCAAGCTCAGATCCTGTGCGGTGTCGAGTACGTGCACCAACGACTTCACGTCGCGCACGGCGGCCTTTGTTTGTCTAATGTCCTGATGAATCGCAATGGCATTATTAAGCTGGGTTCGTTCGATCGAGTGATGAATAGAAACCATCAATCACTGATCTGACCCAGCGAATGTTGGTCACTCTATTCTTCGTCCGACAACCGACTATCAGAACGACTTTCAGATGTTATGTACACTATTCGAAGAGGTCGTCTCCTGGCTAGGAGAGGATCCCCGCAACGCATTATATGAGAGGATCTGGGCGCTTCTGAGCGAGGGTTCTCTGACGCAAGTCCAGCAGGTACGGCGTACAATCTACTTCACCGATAACAACGCTAATGGCAGGATAGCAGAGCTTCGTACAAAACGCGCAGTACACTTCTCTGGCGTCCGTTGCCATTCTCACCGTTGGCCAAACTTGTAGCCAAATAAAGCTTGTTAATAACGGTAGAAGAATCGATAAACAGTAAATAATGGGTCGTTGATACTACATGTTGCTATGCGCTTCTCCTAGATATCAAGCAGCCAATGAATTACTAGGTCATACGAGTTCTCAGGCGATGTAATTCCTTACGGTAAGTGAATTTCCACAAGGGTGAGTAGGTCTAGCAGGCAGGGGCGGTTTGTAGAGTGTCAAAGCTCTAATGAGGCCGACAGGGCGGAGATGACTACAGAGCATGGTTGACCACAGGGTCGGAAAGACCATAGAGTCCGAAAGACCATAGAGTAGAGCTCACTATAAGGTCCGACAGACCATAGGGTCGAGCTGAGCATAGGGTAGAGCTGAGCATAGGGTCCGACAGACCATAGGGTCGAGCTGAGCATAGGGTAGAGTCGACCATAGGGTAGAGCTGACCATAGGGTAGAGCTGACCATAGGGTCCGACGGACCATAGGGTAAAGCTGACCATAGGGTAAAGCGGACCATAGGGTAAAGCGGACCATAGGGTAAAGCGGACCATAGGGTACAGCGGACCATAGGGTAAAGCGGATCATAGGGTAGAGCTGACCATAGAGCAAGCAATGCCGTATGGTAGACACGACCATAGGGTAGATCGATCCATACGCGGTGACCCCGAGGTGACAATGACCGCGAGGTGACAACGATCCGGAGGTGACAACGACCCGGAGGTGACAACAACCCCGAGGTGACAACGACCGCGAGGTGACAACGACCCCGAGGTGACAATGACCGCGAGGTGACAACGACCCGGAGGTGACAAGGACCGCGAGGTGACAACGACCCGGAGGTGACAAGGACCGCGAGGTGACAACGACCCGGAGGTGACAAGGACCGCGAG